GGCCTGTACTGTATATATATATATATATGTATATATATGAAATGTTATAATGCCAGAAGTTTATATTTAATGTGGTTAAAGTTTTAAATAATGAGTTAAATGTATGTGGGTATGTAACATTCAATCATTCAATCAATCAATCAATCAATCAATTTTATTTATAAAGCCCAATATCACAAATCACAATCTGCCTCACAGGAAATCCCTGTGAGCAAAAACCTCAGGCTTCTTCCTGCTGTGCCTTTTTACATACACTGCTACATGTAGCTACATGCTAACGTCAGGGAAATGTGTAATCTTAGTTGCTAGTGTTGTTAATTTCTCCCTGATTTCAGATCATATTCCTGCTGGAACACGTCTGGTTGTGTTTAGAAGTTCTTATTGGGGATTTTTCACATTACAAAGTGCAGCTTTTCTCTGTTACAGTCATTCTCTGGCTGTAAAGACAGTGCAGAGGCCATGGATGTATAAAGAGAACAGAATCTATTACCTCTGCAGCTCTGCAGCAAGTTGCTGAGTGGTGCATGAAGCCAAAATAATTGAACTTCCTGGTTGTGAAATTACCCAGATCTGCAGCATTGTTGAGAGTCAGTATAGACCTTCTAGGGCCGATGTCACAATGATGTCATGTTATTATCTGTAGGTAAAGCTGCCTCTCCCCCACAGGGCTGTAGGCTACACAGGAGTCTTAAAATGTGTTTGTCTTGTTGTGTTATTGGGAGCCAGAATAGAAGGAGTCATGGCTCAAAACCAGCCACCACTGCCCGTCAACAAAAACAAAGATGGTTAAATGTGATAAGACCAAAGGACTGGACGGAGGCCATCATCAAAAATGCTCACATGTGCAGCGCACACTTCATATCAGGTTAGGGAAAAAGTATTTCCTGTTGTAGGGATGAATAAGGTTATGTGTATTAAGGGTTATCATGTCCACCTCATCAGAAACTGGGGAGGGATTAAGAGGAATATTGGATTTCTCTGCAACGCTAACTTTTTAGCACATTAGCTAACGTTAGCTTCCATAGCAAAACAAACAAGTGTGGTCCTCCTTTGTAAGATTGGCTTCCTGTGACATCATCCATCCACTGAGTGAGAGCATACGGGTCGGCCAGTCTGGTCCCGTTGGTCAGTGTTTACTTATTCAAGTAACACTGGCGGTCCCGGAGAGTGAGTGACCTGACATGGTGCGTTGGTAAATTCAGTCTGACGCTCTACACTAAAATGAGAGCCCTGTTGGTGGAAGAAACGCAGCGTTATATTTCTACATGAATGAACCAAAGGTTAAGTTAATCACACATTCACTCCGCTCGGCACGAGTGCACTCCCACACTCTGAATGAGTATTTCTGAACGCACCACTCACATCATCTCCCTCCATTGTCTAAAACAAGACAACAGAACTTGTTAGCTAGCGCTAGCTAATGTCTGTGGAGAACTGTTCTGCCTCCAGCTAAGCCCCGCCCACCAACAAACATCATATCATCAACAGTAAAAGGGTCTATAGCTGCAGCTGGAGCAGCAACATGACTCTCCCACCATACCTACACGTCATTACACAATCACCCCCTTCACTATTTCATTGGAAAGAAAATGTGTTAGATTAAAAGAGAGGCGGTTATGGTCAGGGTCAAATCTCGTTACGTATAAGGTCAATCACGTTTTCATGTATCAATAATTAAGTAAATGAATAAAGTTGATTATTGCTACATTTGGCCTCATATTTGTACACTATAACGTCGCGTTGCAGCAGGGTTCAAATAACCGCCATGTTGACGGGTTTGTCTCGTACTGGTGGTTTCTTATGTAGGCACCAAATGGAACATCAGCAAAATAGGTTCCCTTAAATAGAATAAAACCTGTGTTTTAATAATGCACAGTTGTATTTAAAACAGTTGTAATGGTCCTTTAAAACAGTTAACACTGTAAACATCATCAGCATACACACACACACACACACACACACACACACCCACCAGCAGTCTGTAATGTTTCACTGTGTTGACGTCCGTCTATAAACCTCACTGTTTCCAACCTCTTATGTAACACCACTTTCCCAAGATGCTTCATGTATCATGCAGCATACCAGAGGGAGTGTGTGTGTGTGTGAGTGTGTTGGTTTTCCTCCCAGAATAACTCTTACATTATATCACATCTTGTCTTCCTCCTCTCTTCTCTCTCTGATCCACCTCAGGTCTCCGTCGCTCTGCATTTACTCAAGTACTGTACTCACGTAGTTGTACATAGACTTAGATTTAAATTATTGATGCTCCACCTTCACCAGCTGCAACATTACATCACATCAATAATTATAAACCAGTAATTATCATTATTCTTTGTTTGAACGGGGGCATCTCCACATGACTTGATTTGTGCTCTTGCGGACGTTTAATCACTTTGCTTTGCTTCACCAGCTTTATCATCCTTTACTTGTCAAAAAGCTGTTTTTCATGTTTTTGGTGCTGCTGTCTGTGTGAGACCAGTCGACGCAACGTTAAAAAAGCATGTGTTTCTGTAATTATGCTCATTATATGCAAAAAATGTTGACGCTGAATATTTATATAGGTGATGACGATGCTCTGTAGCCAGTCGCTCTAATAACCAATTAGCTAATGCTAGTGACATGGCTCTAGCTGGGCTAAGTGCTTGGTGTTGCTGTTTAGCAACAGGCAAATCGGTGAGCTACCGTTAGCTGTATGGAAGCAGCAACAGTTGCATTTAAATGTGGTTGTATTTACTGTGTTGACAAGAAGATTATATATGAACGCACCCCTGTTGAGGCATTCGCAACCTCGTAAATGGAAATGTTCTCAGAGCTCAACTGTGACAGTGAAGCCTGTTTAGTCCTGTCAGCAGTCATGTCAAGAGATCACTGTGTTCATTGTTTAAAACACCGACTGGTGCAGCTAGCGCTAAACCGGAAAAATGAGCACTGTTGGGTAAGAAGATAATGACTGATGAATGATATGCCATGCCTGCTGATAACACAGCTGAGGGGGAGCATATAGAGAGTGAAGAGGGTAGGACCCAGCATCGTGCCTTGAGGGACACCACAGGTGACATAGTGAACTTGTGATTTTGCCTCTCCCAATGCAACATACTCAGTTCGCCCAGTGAGGTAGGATGTGAACCACTTGTGGATGGTATCAGTGAGGCTGATGGTGGAATGCAGGCAGTGAAGGAGGATTATTCTGCAGAATTACTATTTTTACAATCAGTACTTGAAGTATACTTTATACTAATACTTTCAAAATCCCCTTCACTACAGGAAACAACAACAACCTCCAAACTAACAACTTAATTGACCAAGATATGGATCGTGCAAGAAGTTATGCCTGCTTTGTTCTTTGTGACTTGTTGTAAAAATCTACAACAAACAAACCAACTTTTGGACGCACCTCAGAAAAGCCCAGACGCCGTTTTGCGCCAAGAGTCTGATCTTGGACCATCCAGACTCATTGCCGATCAGCAAACCTTGTGTTGCCGCTGTCAGTGGAGCTGCTCTCTTCTTGGAGAGTCAGCCTTGTTAGCACGAGCTAACGCAGCAGCAGCAGCAGCGCCAACACCCGACACTGAGCTGTACCTGCACTGCAAATTACAAAAGATATGATTCAAACTTTTAAAATGACATGCAATTTATTTGATTTAATTATTTGCGTTTGGTGTGAAAAGACTTTCAAAGTGAACTGGTTTTGCTGGTTTAAGTGCACACAGGTAAACACTGTATGTGACTGGCAGCGTCTCCTACTGTAACTCATGTTAATGGGTCCTTTAAGGTCTGTGTGTGTGTGTGTGTGTGTTCTCTGCGTGTGTGTTTTGGCAGCCATTGTTGAAGCATCACAGTTGGAGCGTCGTCACTTGCAGACAGCTCCTGATAATTACTGTTATAAAAGAGACGAGCCGCTCGCTGCTTTTTGTTCCCGCTGGGGACTCATGTGACAGCAGCCTGATATTAGCAGCTAATATGTGTGTGTGTGTGTGTGTGTGTGTGTGTGTGTGTGTGTGTGTGTGTAAAGCTGGTGGGTGCTGGTACAAATCTCTGGAACTCTGAAGTAAATCTGTGGCCATCTTGAAGCCTCCAGCGGTGGATTTTCTTAATCTGCTGTCAGAGGAGGACGTGCGGATGGAGGCTGAGAGGTTGCCGGTTCTAATCCCTGTGAAACCTCTTTAAAGTGAGAAGAAAGGATAAAAAATGATTTCTCTTACACCATGTAACAGGAGCGTTAACACCAGTCGCTGTTCAGCCAACGTTACATAAGAGATTTTGCATTCGAAACTATAAACAGTCACTAAAATATGAAACTTGCTCACAGTGCATGAAGGTTGTTCGTGTTGTGGCTTCATGTTTGAGTTCAGTTCTGGAGCAGGTTCATGAAGCTTCAGATAAACGTCAGTTCTTTACTCAAGTTAGAACATACGGGGATAATTCACCGATTTTCAACCAGGTCTGTGTCACCACATTGTGCGGAGAGTGTGTGCAGATAAAGAGTGCTAAGGTGACCCTTGTGCAGGCAGCACCATGAACTCCCTGCCCATGCCATGTGCAAAGTCCGACGGGTGAAACACGTCATTTGGTGTCATCAGAGACGTGTTTTGTGGGTAGAATGTGTATATATGTAATATTACAACACAAAATACATAACACAACCCCCCCCCCCCAAATTTAAAGATATGTCTGTACCTCACAGTGGTGATCCATCAGCACACGCCATTACCTCAGGGTAGGACACCTCCCAGGCCCTGAACTCTCCTATGAACAGAATGTATCATGTCATTTCCTGCACGATCGATAAGGACGCCGCAACAGTGTCATACATCAAATAGTTTACTCACAGCCAGAGGATCCGCGGTTACACTCCGCATAATGCTGGTAACTTCAGTCAACAAGAGGCAGTTTGGTTATTTGAGTCTTTTCAGCAGGAAATGTAACCTGAAATTGTTTTTATAGTTTTTCCTTTAATAACAAGAGACTCATGCATTTGTTGTTTGGTTGTTTTGTTTCAGGAATCGACTACAAGACGACCACCATCCTTCTGGACGGGAGGAGAGTCAAGCTGCAGCTCTGGTACTGGACACACCAAACACACACTCGTATCCTTTCAGTCTCTCTCTCTGAATCATGCCGGTCTGCACCTTCACAGATATTTGTTAAATCAAATATTTTCTATTTGGAAAACTATGACATCATATCCCCAATTTGCATATGCCCATTGTTACACTGTATGATGAGCATGCTCCAGAAATGATGTTTACCTCGTCATCCGTCCACACGAGTCACATTTTGGTTTCACCATAGCACCTTGTACAGAGGAGGACTGGAGGCAAATGTGAAAAATGTATTTGAGTCCAGAGTTTAAAGTCAGATTTTAAAGCTGGAGTGTGTCAGATTTAGGGGGGAAATAGTGGCATCTAGTGGTGAACTGCAGGTTGCAACCAGCTGAAAACATCTGCCAGACAGAAGTTGATGGATATAAGTGTTTGTAATTAAACAGACAGACCTGGTGATTTAAAGGAGTAAAACACCCAGTAACACAGTTTCATGATACAGATTCATGTATCTGATGAGCTTTGGCATTTCGCTGCTAGTGTAACACATGCTAATGTGCAGTCACCTTTTTGTCTCTGATAACATAAGATCCAGACGTTCAGGAGGTTTTCACCCGAAGCAGAGTTGAACCAGAGAATGGAATGTTTTTTTGGGTAGAAAAAAACAAAGCCAACAGCGTGAACCGGGAGAAGCAGAGGTAAAAAAAGAAAAAGTTGGAAAATGTCTCGTGGGCAGACGTGGAGTATTGAGGAGGTGCAGGCGCTTCTTGATATAAACTTGGTGTTGCTCCATTGTTTTGTGGCGACCAAGCCGGCTGAAGGGGATGGATTTCCGTTTTCGGTCCTGGCCAATCGTTGAGCCGGGTTTTCTTCTTCCTCATGCTTTTTTTTTCTTCCTGGTCAGTGGTCGTTTTGGCTAATACCGCCCCCAAACGAGCAGCTGTTGTAACTATGTGACGTTGTCCAGGTGGTTTGATCCGCTTTAAAAAGTGCAGTGTGACAGTGAACCAAACCAAATGAAGGTGTGAAATTTTTCTGCATTCCCCGCCCAATCGAACCAAGACCCCTGGACTATCATGGTGTGAATGCGCCTTTACTTTCACTGTCACTGGCGAGTGTGTTTATAAACAGTAACGTACAGTTCTACAAAGTCCACCTTTGGTTATATTGTAAAGCACACTCTAAGTATGTGCTAACACAGCATTGCAGCTTTGCCACACTGACTCCTGATGAGCCAAATCATTTTTGCACTTGAAGGTAGCATCTTATCAGACTTTCAGATCAGCGTGCAGCGTCATGCAGACTGATCTGAGAGGACGAACTCAAAGCCTCTCACTGTGTTGGAGTAACCATCTGAATAAACTCTACGGTTTATATGAGAAACAGTTTCACCACTGCAGTGACATGAAGGCAAATAAGTTTTAATGCAGGCAACAAAAAACAATCACAGGCTGCGTTAATGCGTCTGTTGCATATAGATGTTCTGAAGCATTGCACGTTCACTTGGAGGAGAACGATGTTGGTGGGATTACAGTGCACTTAATGTACTGAACACACACGTACACACGCTCAGTCACCCATGGCTCTAAACTCTCGGCCCTCTCAGAGGTATTTTTAGAGCTGTTTTGCTTTTAGCCGAGTCAATATTAAATTATAAATCTTAAACTTTGTTTGATGTTTAAGCGGATGAGATGCTTTAGCTCTTGTGCGTGTGTGTTTCTGAGCGCACATGTGTGTGTCTGTCCCCTGGCTACACACACTTTGAGTAAATCCCCGCCTGACCCCATGTGACGTCCCCACACAACGACACACAGAACTCCTGTTTGCGATCATTCAGTCCCGTCCTGTTCTGGCTCCTGTAAACAACAACAGATGGAGTCTCTCAGTATCAGCTCATGATGAATCTTACTGGTTTTGTTGGACCACCTGACTTACAGAGCGGCAGCTGGCCCGGTCAGAGGCAGCAGGCCAGCAGCCAGCGAGTCCTCACGAGCCAACCCAAACACTGCTGTGGTATTCAGCTCTGCTGCTTGTTTTTCACTGCGGACACAAAAACAACAGAGCAGTCATGTTCTCTGGAGGCTGGAGAGGAGGACTTTGTTATGGTCGGAGCATTTTTAAAGCCACTCCTGCATCTTGTTTTCAGCTCCAGAGGACAGAGAGATGACCCACAGTGAAGACAATCATTACACAATAATGTCAACAAGATAAAACTTTATTTACACGGTGTGGTTCATGCAAAACAACGTAACAGTGTGCTTTTTCATAAAAAGAAAGACGTTCAGGAGTCAAGATAAACAAGTAATGCCAACACTCTCTTATACAATGACAGAACAGGTCGATTTCCACCAACTTCCAGAACGGCTTATACGACAGAGGTGGGTGGAAAAATCACAGCATAGTGACGCGATATTTTGTGTGGCGATATCGTTACAATACATCGATGTTAAGTATCAATCTTTTGTTGTAAACATTATGAATTTTTGTAAATACATACTTTTGTTTCAAGAATAATAAAATCAGTTGCTTTCTCGGTCCACAAGATGGTGCTGATTTTTTTTTCCTGGTGAGGTCAGCAAACGTCTCAGTCAGCAGCATTTGGCAGGAAGTTCATCAAACAAAAGATGGAGGCACCGGAGAAAGAAATCAGAAATGCGCCGTCGGCGTTTAAATCAAACATCTGGGCTTATTTTGGACTTTTGCACGCAGAAGGAGGACTTGAATATGACACGTGATTTATGAGCAGTGTCATATGAGAATTAAGTACTGTGTGAATACTACGAACATTTTATTTTATTTATTTAATTTTTCACATATTAGCAAAATTCTATGGCATTTTACATTGTAATCTAGCAACTAGCGATCTTTTCCTCTTCTCATATAAATCCAGGGACAGTGGCAACATTTAACAAAGGTAACGGCACACAGTTTGGCTCCATTACAACTCACAAGGTTCACTGACAAAACAACTGTCCTGTACTAAACACGTTTTTTAAATACAACATGCTAACGTTATTAGCACAAGCCTATGGCATTTTACATGGTATACATTAGCCTAGCGGCTGGCAATCTTTCCCTCTCATATGAAACATGGATAAATCCCGAAGTATAACTCACATACAAGACTTAAAATGCTATTTTAATGGAGGCTTTATTGTGTTCTTAATTTATTGTTTCTTGTCTGTGAACTAAAAGTAAATACAAGCTCCATTTCCACTGAGGGAAATGGTGTCAGTATACAGAAACAGACAAGGAGGTCTGCGTCACCACGACGCGTAATTACAATTCTGGGGAGGTGCATGTCAGGCCACGTCGTAGGTTACGGCATAGGCTCCAAATCGACGTGGCGCCTACACTGTAACCTATGCGTCGATTCAACTCAGAACTATAAATTAAGAGATAAACGTCATGAAAGAATCGTAGCTCCGAAGCTACCTGGTTCGGTTTCAGAAAAACATCTTGGTTTGGCAGTAAAGAAAGTATTTGTAGCTTCGTGGAGGGTCAAGATAGAAAAAAAAAAGGAGTCACACCCCAGCCACGTGCTCCCTCCTCTGATAGATAAAGAACAGTTCCTTAGTGTTTGTTTAGATAGTGATGACACTTCAGTAAGATTCCTCAGAAGGTCATAAAAACTCAAAAGTCAAAAGAACGTGTGTGAAGTATCTGACATTTCAGTATCTGTCTGTTGTTGCAGGGACACGTCTGGTCAAGGACGATTTTGCACCATCTTCAGATCTTATTCCAGAGGAGCACAGGTACGTTTCCTCCACAGCCCACCGTCACTGCAGACGGAGTCAGGTAGTTGCAGCATGTTGGATCGTTAACAGCTGAGCCCTGCTGATACTCCGTCAGTCCCATTAATACTGAAATGTAGAGTTTACTGTTTGTTTTTCCTCTCAGGCTTCATTCACACATCTAAGTCCAGATATTTGAATTCATCAGAGCAGTGTTTTTATTTTGAGTCCTTTCTCAGAGCTTCTGTGCGTGTTGTTGTTCTGACCTCAGACTCTCTCTCTGAGCTCTGAGAGGAGGTGTGAAGAAACTCATCAAACAGCCGCACACCGCGTTGTTCCCCAGCAGAGACAAAAAGAAAACACTTTTCATTGAATGAAGTTGTTGTCATCATCACTCAGTTGGGCTTTTAGTGGGTACAGAGGAGATATCACCATGGCAACAGTGACACTATCGCCACAGCGAGGTTGAGAGCTGATCATGAATCTTTACTGTGTGTGTGACTTGGTCGTGACGTAAGCATCCATGTAGTGTTGTGTTGGTGCTGCAGCTATAACATGTCACAGCTGCAACTAACAATTATTTTCATTATTAATTAATCAGTTTGTTAATAAAATGTCAGAAAATAGTGAGAAACATTTGTTATAGAGCTCCGTGTGAAGTCTTCAAATGTCATTTAAGGGGGTCAGTTGAGGTGGTTCGGGCATCTGTTCCAGGTCCCCCCTGGGTGCCTCCTGTTAGAGGTGTTTCGGGTACGTCCCACTGGTAGGAGGCCCCGGGGCAGATCCAGAACACATCTGGCCTGGGAATGCCTTGGGGTCCCCCAGGAGGAGCTGGAAAGTGTTGCTGGGGAGAGGGACGTCTGGGGTGCTTTGCTCAGCCTGCTGCCCCTGAGACCCAGCCCCGGATAAGTGAATGAAAATGCGTGGATATTTTTACAGAAGTGTGATGCATTCACTTCAAGAAAACAAAAAGTTAAAATGAAGTACAGTACACTTAGTAACACTGCGTGACTGCTGGAGGCTATCTGAGCCAATTTTTTTTGTTTTCAAAGTGAGTTAATTAGTCACAAATTACAGTTAAAGCTTTCCTGACACATTAATTGTCATTTGTAAAAACCTCCTTCTGTCTCTCAGGGAGTTATTCTGGTGTATGACATCACCAACCGCTGGTCCTTTGATGGGATCGACAGGTGGATCAAAGAGATAGACGAGGTCAGTGATCCATCCATCCATCAGTCTCTGTGTTTTATCGTCACGTCTGAAGAGATATTTCTCTGCAGTCAGCACATTGTTTACCATTCAGATGTTATTAAATCTCAGCTCCTCTCTGAATGAGTCAGCCACGTTCACAACAACAACCCACTCACTGCAAACAATGCTGCTCTCACACAGGAACCCAACACACACTCTACCAGTAATTTGACCAATTTAATTTGATTCTTGTTGTTCAGAGCCCACCTAGCTGTGTGTTCAGGATTAGATCCAAGATGAAGTGTGATGGCTGTTCAATTTCATGTCTGTTACTATAGAAATCATCTGCATTCTTTCATTTCGGCAGATTATAACCTGCCATAAAATCTTTAAATCTCATGTTCAGACTCAAACCAACAGTGGATGAATTTACTGTAGACTACAGACTATGTGTCGGTCCAAGACCTAGATCATTACACTAACCAACACACACAATATTGTACTTCTACACTTGTGGGGTCCCTCAGATCCATATGTATTCTCCAGCCCAACTCTGGAGCTGAAAAATGAATCCAACACTGAAGTCCCAAAAACTGCAGTTCCTCTAATGTCCACTTGAGGCTGACTCAAGAGCAAGTCAGTCCCCACAGACCCCAATGTTAAAACTTCACAGCAGAAATAAACATGCTTACAGCCTGGTATAAAAAACAGTTTTAGTCTCTATTACTAGTTTATGAACTCACTCGTTTTAACATTAATAAGGCGTAAAATTAAGCATCATTGAGGACGTGACCACTTGTACCTTTTTACCACCGAATTAGCTCTTGTTCTTGAACCAGTTCCGTTGGTGCTATCCAGCGAACCAGCCTACATTTCTAGGGCTGTACTGGACTAAGTATTATGTCAGTCGAATCAGATTTGGCGGTTTAATACGAATATCCGATGACTTTTTTATTTTTTTATTTTTAAATCCTATAAAATTTTTAATAGGATCAGGTTCTGATCCAATTTTGATTATGTTTGAAATGCTCTGAACGTTTTAAAATGGTAAGTCACTACCATGGTGACAGCATTGGTTTGGTAACGTGACCATTGTGTAACCCCAGATTTACAGTAAAGGTATAGTGTTAGCTATTTTAATGTGTTTTACTTCATGAAACTTCATTGTAACATTTTGTTCATCTAAAAAAAGTCTTGGTCAGTGTTTGGTTGTAGCTAAAGACCCTCTAAGGAGTCGGAGTTTCTGTTTTTTATGTTAAGCAAACTTTGTTTTAATGGTTTTAAGCCTGTTTTTCATAAGCTAAAAGTAGTATTAGCATTTCCGCAGTTAGCTAACCATAGCTGCAAATGCTAACGGAACTAGCAGTTAGCGTTACAGTTAGCTCCCCCCGATTGTTCAAGTATGGTCACTTCTAGCTCCAATAATCCAAGATGGAAACTGCCAAATTGCCAAACTTGAGGCTACACTTGAGAAGTACACAAACCAATGGGTGACATCACAGTGGCTATGTACAATATTTTATACCATCTATGCTCCAGTCCCTGACTTTAACATCACAACTAAATGCCTAACCCTAACCTGATTCTAACCTGAACCTTAAAACAAAGTCTGAACCTTCAAACAGCCCGGACTGTCCTCACTTTGCAATATGTGCCCATGGTCCTCACAATGATAGATGTACAAGAAAAGAAACACACACACACACACTAAAACAACACGCCCCAAATATTGATTACAGCACTTTTTTTTGATCTGATGTTGTTTGTTAAGATTTGAGGGGGTTCTTATAAACCAGTTCTCACCCTGGATCCCAGAGAGGCCGGCAGACTGAATCAGTATCCACCAAATGACTCCTGTCATAATCTTCTGTTACTTGTATTTACCCAGCATGCCCCAGGAGTGCCCAAGATCCTTGTTGGGAACCGCCTGCACCTGGCCTACAAGCGTCAGGTGACCACCGAGCAGGCGCAGGTGTACGCAGAGAAGCTGGGCGTCACCTTCTTCGAGGTCAGCCCGCTGTGTAACTTTAACATCACCGAATCGTTCACCGAACTCGCTCGTATCGTGCTGATGAGACACGGCATGGAGCGGCTGTGGAGGCCCAACAAAGGTCAGTCAGCACGGTGCAGTGGTGAAGGAAGTACTCAGATACTTTATAGGAGTAAAAGTATGATTACCACACTGTAAAAATACTCTGTTATATGTAACAGGTGGTTTTATGGGGAGGTTCATTTGTTGGAGTATTTTTGATGACATCTCCCTCTTTAAAAACAAAAAGCTTCTTCTGGGCTCCTCGTGTACTGAGAATGATTTGTGTTGAGTGTAGTGGCAGGTCTGTGCTGCCCTCTGCTGGACGACACTGAAACACACTGCACCTTGTCTCTCTGTTGTCTGTGCTGTGATTTGATTTTAATAATGTGACGTCAAAATGAAAAATATTGAATTCTGTTATTAACCTCCTGAGACGTGAGCTTTTGTTTGGTATGTATTTTTAATTTCTCCTGGCTATTTGGGAGAAATAGGACCTGATAAGTATAAAAAATGAATCATTGTCAATATATATATCTTTATTTAACCAGGTAAAAGTCTCTTTTTCAAGAGCGACCTGGCAGAGAGAGCGGCACGAGCACTGTTACAACAATAAGCAGCAAGCAGACAAGAACAACTGTCACACACCATGAATGAGCAAGAACAGCATCCATTTAATATGCAATACAAAAATAGTTGAATAAATAAACATGTTCAATATACTTAAAATGATTACAGTTATAATTTGAGTCACAGTCACATTGCCCGCGAGTGCTGTTTTCTTGATCCTTAATAATTAATTTAAATTCCCCCATCGGTACCAGCTCAGAAAATTTCAGGTCCTTCTGTAAATAATTATTCTAATAAATAATAATTAGGATTTTATTTGTACAGCACTGATCTAAACAAGGTTACAAAGTGATTCACAAAGTGCATGAAAATAAGACAACAATACAATATTTAAAAAAAAATGTTAAGAGCTGAGAAAAATAGTGAGCACAGAGGCAAAAACAGAACAAAAAGAAATAAAACACTAAAGCTACAAATCAAAAAGTATAAATCAGCATTGTTTTAAGCAGTGATTTAAAAACGTGTAATGTGTTAGCACACCTGATCTCCTCAGGCAGAGAACTCCAGAGCCTCGGGGCCTCGATGGTAAAAGTCTGGTCACCTTTAGTTACCAACCTCTATCTAGGGACGACTTGTGAGGGTTGACTCGAGGATCTCAGGTCACGACTTGGAGTGCAGGTAGTCAGAAGCTCAGCTATAAAACAGGGCTAAACCATGATGAGCTTTAAGAGTCTTGCCCGGTTCTTTTCAAACCTTGAGGACTAATAACTGTGACTGAGGTCATATTGATTTTTTTTTTTTTTGTATGTAAACAGATAAACACAAACCAGCCCAAGCTGAGATTTATATATAAAAACAAACCAATGTGAGAGTCTGTGGATGGACAGAGAAAGCCATTTATAATACAACATGATATAATATAAAGCACAATGATATACAGTATCCATCTTCTTTAGGCACTGCCCAGGTTCGTTCATAAAGAGCAGATCGCTGTTGTCCAATAAAGGGAAAAAAGTTGTTGAAACAAATGACGTCCTCATGTGGTGACATTGCGTTTATTTTAAATAGTCACAAGTGGATGGAAAAGTATAAAACTTTAGGTAACACTTTACTTGAAGGTATCTACATAAGATTGACATAACACTGTCATAACTATGACATAACAGGGTCATGAACCTGTCATGAACATTATGTACATGTCATAAACGTTTATGACTGCTGTCATTAAGTGTCATCCGGTTTTTGTAATGACAAGTTGACATTGTTTGGGTTGTCTTAATTATGACAACTTGACATTAATCAAAGTGACATTACCAGAAGAAGTCTTTGTCATGACAAGTTGACATTAAAATTGGGATTTCCTTATTATGACAACTTGACATTAACATACAGACAACTTCTGGTAATGTCATCCTGGTTAATGTCAAGTTGTCATAATAAGGACATCCCAAACAAATTTAATTGTCACTTGTAACTTGTCATGACAAAGACATCTTCTGGTAATGTCACTTTGATTAATGTCAAGTTGTCATAATAAAGACAACCCAAACAATGTCAACTTGTCATTACAAAAAACGAATGACACTTAATGACAGCAGTCATAAACATGTACATAATGTTTATGACAAGTTCATGACAGTGTCATGTCATAGTTATGTAGATACCTTCAAGTAAAGTGTTACCAAACTTTATTTTAATGGAAACAATCAATGCAACATTTGTCTAACTGCAAGTTGGGGGTCACTGTTCAAGTCTACGGGGCTGTGCACATGTCATGTCTTTAACCGCCCAGAAAACGCGATGTCAGGTGCTGCGTTCCTACTCTGTGCCAGCTTTCAAGAGCGCGGAGAAAGGTTGCGTCTGAGGTTGCTAAGCAACCATAACAAGCACTGTATCATATACTACTTACCCGAAATTCTGAGTATAGAGCTGATCTTCTTCCATTGTTGAGGACAATGGGTCTAAGTTAAGATAATGAAGTAGAAGGTGCAGCAATCCCGAAATGTAATGTCATCATATGAGGACGCAGGAGAGACAACATGATTAATTATTTTTACTTTATCATGTGATGTTGATGTTGAATCATGACACAGTAAATGTGTAAGAGCTTCATGTGACAGCGCCCTTCGTGCAAAAAGAGTTTCAGACATTTTTATTGTCTCTCTGTGTTTCAGTGTTGAGCCTTCAGGACCTGTGCTGTCGCTCCATCGTCTCCTGCACTCCGGTCCACCTGGTCGATAAACTCCCCCTCCCTCTGGCTCTGAAGTCTCACCTGAAGTCCTTCTCCATGGCCAACGGCCTCAATGCCCGCATGATGCATGGACGCTCCTACTCCGTCACTGCCAACGCTCACCACGGCGCCACCAAGAGGACGGGAGGGACACTGCTGAAAAAACCCAAACTAATCCGGCCGCCGCCGCTGAGCCCGTCTGCACAGAGCTGCAGGAACAGCTGTAAAATATCCTAACACCTGGACCTGTCAGTGAACGCACGTCACCTGTTTTATGACACAGAGGCTTTTTTTGTTCTTAAACCTCAGACGACGATGATGATGATGATGATGACCTGCTACTTCCAACTGATACTGCCAAGCAGCATAACAGCAGGAGGTGGAAACAGAAATATAAATCTCTCTCACAGGAACACAGAGCGCTCGTTAGCTTCTTTTTAACACTAGTTTCTGTTTCTGAGAACGAGCCTCAACCTCACAGTGTGTTGTTCCTCACAGAGTTTCCTTTATTAGTCTGTCTAAGCAGCTAAAACTTTTTAACTCTATGCTTTAAATGCTGATGTGACGGATGTTATTAGCTCCATCTCATATTGTTCTCGTACGTTTTGAATCCATGTTGTATGAGGATCAAGTTTCAACCACCAAATGTTAAATTAAACTCTTTATTAAGATTCAAAAACTGCAGCTCCAGAAAGATTTTGGTGACAGTGTCCTGAAAACACGTTTTAGCTGTGGTCGTTGAATGCTGACAAAATTATTGGTAAAGCTCCAGTGTGTAGGGTTTAGGGGCATATATTGGCAGAAATGGTACATACTATTAGTTTGTAATTACATCCCTAGAGCCAGTCTGTGACACCAGGGATCAGCACACCCGGGTCCCTATGAACCTGGCCCCGATGCAAGTCCCTGCAGGTGGTGGGCCCACAGGCAGGTGGCTCCTTGTAGGTCATTCAGGCTAAGGGCCCGTCCCAATACCCCCCCTTAGCTCTACCCCTTGGCCCTACCCCTACATTTGTGCGTTCCCGTGAGGGGTAGTGGTGTCCCAATTCCTTTTTGCGTGTAGGGGTAGTGGGCATAACGAGGGGTAGTGGGTATGAAACTAGCCCTTCGGAGCGAGGGATTTCAGATGCTGATTTGCCAGCGAGGGGTAGACATTGCCATGGCTACCACCGAGCAAGAGACGATGAATAAAGTTCATACATAGCTAACGTTACCGTCGTCAGGTTGCTTGTTAGCTAGCTAGCTAGCTCGCACTATCTGGCATCTGTCATCTGTCCTGTCGGTTGGAAATGTAGATGGCTCACAGCTTCCTGTTTAAAATAGTTATGTACGCGTGAACGTAACCGACGCGGTGACGTAGTGAGTGGTGTCCCAATTCCTAGGGAAAGATTTCAAACCCTACCCCTCGTTGCTTCATTTTGAGGGCCAAGGGGTAGTGGGCGGGGAGGGGGGGTAGTGGGGTTGGGCCTATGTCTGACCGGGCACCATGGCCTAAGGCCTGGCCGTTTTAAATGAATGAAAGCGTCTGTGAGTTAAAACACACTGATGAGTTAAAGCAGCGGAACAGAAGCTAAACAAGAACGGGACGTGGATGAGACCTCAGATCTCATGACATGCATGATGATGATTCACGTAAACAGCTGAAAGTCAAACTCTTCATTATCTACTTTTTAAGAGGACTGTTGATGAACTTTGGACAAAAAGCAAAATCACCCGAAACACTGTTAAAAACAGCTGTTGGGTGACGTTTGATGTCTGTGTTGCTGTCGTGGATTAACTGTTAATTCACAAACGACTGTGTCGACAGGAAATGTGGTCAGAGTGACAGGGTGAGGACTTCTGTCTGAAGCCGCCATTGTTTGAAACCGATGTTCATTAATTCACCAGTACCACAGATTATCGGGGCCACTGCTGGCAAACAAATCTGAGGTTGAAATATTTTTTGGAAAAAATAGTTGAAATTTTGAGAGAAAAAAGTGTAATATTTTTAGAGAGATGTCAGTTTGTCAAGGAAAAAGATAAAAGTAAAATAAAATTATGAAAATGTCATATTTTGATGAATAAAAGCAAAAATAAAGGTGAAATATTACAAAACAATTTACAGTTTCTGATAAGTAAAAAACCTTTATGTTAAGTACTGTTAATATAAAACAAAATAACAGACATCTCCCCCAATTTAATTATAACACGACATTTTGCTTCAACATGAGATATTAAGTAAAAATATGAGATTGTAACTAAGTGAAAATTTGTTTTAGTATTGCATTTCCAAAATTATTTGATTCTCCAAAAAGTCTGCACTTTTTTAATATATATATGTAAAATTTGGGTCTTGAAAAATTACAATTTTTATTTTTGCAAAAAAACAGATTTTTTTCTCATAAAATTAGGACTTTTATCTTGCAATATTTCTTTTTGAAATTTTATAACTTTATAGTGGAATTACTATGACTTTTTCTCACAATGTTCCAACTTAATTTTTGAAATATTTGTAGAGTTTTGACCTGAAAATATTACTTTTTTTAATTTCAAAAAGTCAACAAAATAACTTTATTCATATTTCACATGAACTTTTCCTCAAAATTTTACTTTTTTTAATTACAAATTTACATTTAAATATTCCTGTTTTGTTTTTTCCTCAAAATTTCAACTTTTTTTTTCCTGAATATATTTTGACTTTATTCTTGATAAGTTTTTTGTTTTCCTGACAGTGGCCTGACCAGCACTCAAACCACTGACTCACAGCAACATGTTTGTGACTCCCCTCCGCAGAGAGCTTTAAGACATTAAAGGAAACTTTAGGAATCACAAACTGAAGAAGAAATCTGTAAAAACAAATGACTTCATCACCGCAAGAAGACGGATCTTATTATTGATGTTTAACTGCAGCTAAATTTTCCTTTGACGCCTCTTTAACGGTGAGTTGTTGTGTTCACAGTCGTGCAGCTTCTTCCTCAGGATGTTTTCTACTCACACATATCTGAACATGTAAAGCACTTTGGACACTGTATTTTCTCTCAACACACTGAGATCACACCCTCCTCTTCTTTATGGCCTGATTCACTGGCTCTCCAGACACACTTACAGCTGCAATTTGTGTACAATATTTGTACGTAATGTAAATATCACTGTTTGATACAACGATAAATAATAACCTGTGGGATTTGTATCTGTTTTCAGTGTACAGTGACGTTATATTTTTTCCTGAGTGACGCCAAAGACTCAGCTGACAGAGGAGGTCACTGAACAGACGGCTGTGTTTTGCACTGTTTATCAATGTTTAATAAGATGCACCTTTACAATAAACTGTACCCACCGTGAGGCTGCGGTTTGTGGTCTAAGAAATAACATATTGTTTGCCTTACGAATGAAATATAGAAACATAAGTATTAAAACACTGTTGCCAACCTTTCTTAGTCTGGTGTGACCAGTAGGGGTGGGAATCACCAGAGGTCCCACGATAATATATTATCACGATACCTGAAGTCACGATACAATATTGTTGCGATTTTAAATGTATTGCGATATGCTGAGTATCACGATAACAAATATTGCAATATATTGTGATTAGCTTTTTTCAACCGCAAATTATGTTCCCAAAGGAAAACTTTGTCAACATCTGTTTGATCTAATAAGATAAAGTTTTTAGTCTGTTCATCTCACTGAACATCATTATGTTTGTAGTGGACAGAAAAAAAATTGATTGTATAGATTCTAGTAGGCCCCAGAGCCCTACAACATGACCTCCAGTAGGCTACTGGTGTGCATGTTTCTGACCACACTGTCAGAAACAGACACCATGAGGGTGGCATGAGGGCCCCACGTCCTCTAGTGGGACCTGTGCTCACAGCCCAGCACTGTGCAGCTCCATCATTCACCAGAGAACACCAGAACTGGCAGGTCCACCATCGGCACCCCGTTCTCTTCACAGATGAGAGCAGGTTCGCACTGAGCACATGTGACAGGCGTTAAAGAGTCTGGAGACGCCGTGGTGAACGTTATGCTGCCGGTGACATCATCCAGCATGACGGGTTTGGTGGTGGGTCAGTGATGGTCTGGGGAGGCAGATCCTTGGAGGGTCACGCAGACCTCCATGTCAGAGCCAACAGTATGCTGACTGCTGTTAGGCACTGGGATGATATCCTCCTGGTGCAGAGGGCCCTGGGTTCCTCCTGGTGCAGCCGGCCCTAGGTTCCTCCTGGTGCGGAGGGCCCTGGGTTCCTCCTGGTGCAGGACCTCGCCTCATGTGTCCAGAGTGGGTAGGCAGTTCCTGGATGATGAAGACATTGCTGCCATTGACCTCTCGGCGCCGCCAAGTACCACCACAGACTGTCCAGGAGCTCACTGATGCCCTGATCCAGGTCTGGGAGGAGATCCCCCAGGACACCATCTGCCAACTCATCAGGAGCCCAGACATTGTCAGGAGGTCATACAGGCAGGCGAGGGCTGTACACACTACAGTCACATGATGAGTCGGATCAACCTGTGATTTTAATGTTTACTTTGATTTTCGGTGTGATTTTGAATTCAACCCTCAGTGGGTTGGTGATTTTGGTTTCCACTGACCGTTGGTACGTCATTTTGTTCTCAACAAATTACACAATGTACATCAGTAAACACTTTACACTTTGTGCAGTGTACAACTTTGTCCTTTTTAAATGATAAACAAATGACCATTCATAACAATATGACTTTTGTGTGATTATTATTCATGATTTATACTGTTATGGTGCTAAAGTCCCAAACTAACAAACTACCATTACATATAGACAGAAAGTTCAGTGTAGTGATTCACCCTCCGGTCCAGCAGGTGGCGGGAAAACGTTCTGAGCCGCCATTTTGTAAGAAGCAGCGGAGGAGACGGAGAAGAAGAAGACTAGTAGGAGGAGGAAGAAGAAGTGTGTGTTTACTGGTGCTAGCTTGACTTTGGAGCAACACAAGTGGGAATTTGGGGAATTTGTTGACTTCGTTTCAAACCACCGTGGGAGTTGTTGTTGTCACGGTTATTTTTACGGTAACACCTCCTCTGTCATGTCTTCTTCGTGCCCGTTATGGCGGGATGACATTAGACAGAAACTCTGTGTAGAACTCTGGTTTATCTAGAAATTTCCTCAGCTGCTTCCTCACTTTACTACAGACAACAGTCCCGCTGTCAGGTAACGTTACAGCAGATATTAGTTTGTTATTTTGACCTTCATATGTGTTTATTTCGTGTCTGTGAGCAGAATAAATCCTCCCAGTTCAGACACAGGTCACTGGGTGATGTCAGGACACGCCTAACTGCTTCTCTTCACATTCTCTGTTTTAAGGTTAAATTAAAGTTAAAGTTTCAGACAGCTCAGCTCAGGATCTGAAACGACGAGATAAAATTTACTGTTTTGTCCAAATGTACAAACAACAACAATAAATACATCCAATATCAGGAAACACATGTAGTTATTCAGGTTGTTTTGTGTTGTCTTTGCTGAGGAATGATGTTAAACTGTCTGTAACACCGATTAACGGTTAATTTAATGAGGCCATTTTCTTTAAGGGAAACGAAACTGATATAAATGAAAGAAATTTTTGATAAAAAACACAAACAATTGTTTGTTTAAAACGTTGAGATAAGTTACCCTTGTTTTAAAATTGCAACTCCATCATTACTATTATTATTTGTATTTGTGTTTGTATTTATTTCTTTTTTCAGGTACAATTATGTACATGAAGCAAGGATGCGCAGTTAATATCGGCACGTCATCGGTATTGGCCGATATTGGCCAGTATGCTTTTTCTTATGTTGCACAATAAATGAATAATATAGACACTGAGAAGTATTGAATTTGATATCTTTAGTGACCTGATGATCACTAAAATTAGTTGGGTAAAAGTGGATATATCGATATCGGTATTGGTTATTAGCCAAACAAGTTGTTTGATATCGGATTGGGAAAAAGGGGAAAAAATATTGTGCGTCCTTGTTAATTAGCATTACTGTAAATGTGCCAGTGTCTGCTGGAAAGCAAATTTTTAACTGTTGTCCGCTGGCCTGATGTTAGATTAGCCATTTAAAACAAAACAAAAGAAAACAAGAACCTGTTAAAGCAACACTTACCTTTCTGGAAACTTTTCGTTGTTTAGGTTAAAATGCTATTAATATGCTGATGACACGCTAAAAATGTACGTGAATTCCACCAGAGATACAAACTTATAATTATACCATTCTCATATGGTTCTAAGAAAACTCCGGCCAATCTTTGCACTCAGACCAAATGCAGTGATTGGCCGAGCGCCTACTGTAGCGTAGCTTTTGAAACATTAACATTATCTCCCTTGTGCGTTTCCACTTACTAGTAACGTTAACGCTACTATCCAGCGTTAGCACTGTAACCTTATTCTAAAACTCATCAGTCATCACTAACCCCGGATAAGTTTCAAAACTCCGGGGTTGTGTTTGACCTCACTGAAGTGCCAGGTATGACCAAGTTCTGCCTCGCTATCTGAGCAATGTTTGGATACTTCCACCACAAGAGTGGATCCTGGTCGGCTCGTAGTGGTGTCTCATTCTGGTAACGTTTCATCTCTTCTTCAAAAGGTAGAAGTTGCTTTAAACACACAACATGAAAAATTTAGTTTTCTTCTGTTGGGATAAAAAAGTTAAGCTCAATATACCACGTCAAAAATAGAAATGCACTAACTAAACATTCCGAGATATGAAGTCCATTAAAAGGACTGAGATATTCCTTGGTTTATTCTATGAGACAGTAGGAGTGGCAGAAAAAAAATCAGTACAGCAAAGTATGGCGAGATATTTGTGTGGTAATATTGTGTCATGATACCGTTGCCAAGTAACGATTTTTCACATTTTTTTTTATTTAATTATTTTTTATTATTATATAAATTATTAATAATATAAACAGATTAAGATTGTACCCACTGGAGTGCCTTTTCAGTTTACCATTTACAAAGTGCTGCAATAAAAATGACTAAGATGAAAAGACTAATTCGATAAAACTGTTGATGTCGCCATCAAGTTTTCCTTTGGGGACATCATTTGCAGTTGGAAAAAGGTAATAAATCGCAATATATTGCAGTATATGTTATTGCAATAGCATATCGCAACAGATTTAACATGGCAATAGTATTGTATTGTGACTTGATGAGACAGTAGGAAAGTTTATTTTTTATTTTATTTTATTTTATTTAAAAGGGACAATGCACATTAATGAACAACAGTAAAAACAGTGTAAATGTGCCAAAGTTAGCGCAACGCTAATTCACATATGGAGTCCCTTGGCAGGTAACAAAAATACACAATTTAAGTAGGAAATAACAACAATAAAAAACGGGGGATTTCACATTCAAAAATAGCAGCTAATGGGTCTATGAAGTGCAAAGTGCCAATTTACAGTATCATTTTATAAAGTGCATGGTTGCCTATTTAAAGTGCGTAATATGAAGTAGTATACTATATAAATAAATCTGTTCGCCCAGTTGGGTCAGTCCATTCCTGTCGCCTGGAATAGGCCAAGCCACTGGGGTTCTGCTAATCAGTACCGTATAAGAAAACCAAACATACAATACAATCAAATTTGACAAGGCAGAAAACATTCAGGACACAAAATACAAAAGGGATGAGTGTATGATAATTGAAGAGAAATGTGGTGCAGGTCTGCACTCATACAGACACGCACCACATAACTGTACAGATTAGTGATGATTACAATGTTGATTGGTTTTAAGCCAGTTTTTGAGATGAGTTTTGAATGTACCAAGTGTGGGGTATTCTCTTATTGTGAAAGGTATATCATTCCATATGTTAGTGCCTCTAACTGATAAAACAGTTTGGCAAAATGTTGTACATCTGAAAGGCAACTCACAATCTCCTCTGATTATGGCCCTGGTTGTAGTGCCATTGACAGGTTTTGGTTTAATAAATTCTTGTAGTGGTGGTGGTGCAAGTCCATGGAGTACTTTATAAATAGTGCAAGCATATTTGAAAATTTTGAAGTTTTCAAAGCTTAGGAAATTATGTTTCACCAGAATATGACAGTGATGATATGCGATTGGTTTTTTATCAAATATTTTTAAGGCTCTTTTGTATAGTGATTCTATTTGGTCTAGTGTAGTTATGTGACTTGATGAGACAGTAGGAAAGTTAACATTTTGTCCCTGCATCTTAATTAGAAAATTAGAAGTGCCAGACTCAGCGGAACGTCTTCACTTGTCTTGTTTTGTCCGACCATCAGTCCAAAACTCAGAGATATGAAACAGAGAAACAGAAAGTTCTCACAGTGGAGAAACCATTAGTGAGGAGCGATCAGCATCTTTGGTTGAGAAATATTAATCATTTAGCAAAAATAGGTGCAGATCAGTTTTCTGTCTATTGATTAAATGATTCATTGTTTTCTACAAACCAATTTTTTTCATTCAGGAAATTAAATGCTGTCTTTACACAAACAGCTATATATGATCTTTGTCTCTGTAAAATAAATCAACAAAATGATGATTTAAATCAGGAGCTCTGATCAATAAACTTGTGTGTCCGCCTGGTTTCTCTCTCTGCAGGCTGGATGGCTTTCTGTTGGCTGTTGATCCACATCCTCCTCTTCAGCTGCTGCTCAGCTCACAATGACTTCTTCACCTCCATCGGTGAGTGAATCCAGTGTTTGTTTTCCTCCTGTTCATTCATACATCGTACTCCTCTGCTTCACTCTGGATATAAACAAATGAAAAGAGGATTTAAAAAAACATCCAGATAACTTCTGTGTTTGTTCCTCAGCTGTTATAAAAGTTTCATACAGAAGGAGACACACTGTCATGGTACAATCAAACCTGGTATGAGCAAGGTGTACCTAATAAAGTGACCAGTTATTGTATTTTGGTTTTAAACTGTTAGAATGAACTGTTACCAAAAAAAAACAATCAGTTTGAAGACGTCACGTTGGATGTTGAGAAAATGATTCTTCTATTCTGACAGTTATTTGATCAAATGATGAAACTGTGTGTCCTCAGGTCAGATGACTGACCTGCTGTTCACAGAGAAGGACCTGGTCACCTCGCTGAAAGACTACATCCGAGCAGAGGAGAGCAAACTGGAGCAGATTAAGAAGTAAGAGACGTCTCAGGTGTTGTTTTGTCAGTACACCACAGACAGACTGATGCTGAAACTGTCTTTGTGAAATGAACAAAATGATAATAACACAAATGATTCATCAGTCAAACCAGATAAATCAAAGTTGATGTATGTGATTTATTGAGATTAATTAATCACAGACCATGTTATTAATTAATTTTGAATCAGTGGACAGTCCTGGTTAAAAATGATATATTTTGAGAGCAGAGTGTGAAAACGCTTCAGCATGTCTTTGTGTTTGATCTGTGGTGTGTGTTACGGGATGAGGGTGCGCTCTGAATAGTTGTTCCCTCTGGTAGTTGCAACTAAACAAAAGTTTTCCTGAAACATTGTCTGACCTGAGAACAGACCCAGTTTTCTGCTCCATTTCTGTTGTCTGTCTTGGAGGTGTGGCCGCAGATTAAATACACACTCTGTTACCTGTGTGTGTGTGTGTGTGTGTGTGTGTGTGTGTGTGTGTGTGTGTGTTCATCCTCAGATGGGCGGACAAACTGGACGTCCTCTCTGTAGCAGCCACCCAGGACCCCGAGGGTTTCCTGGGACACCCGGTGAACGCCTTCAAACTGATGAAGAGGCTGAACACAGAGTGGGGGGAGCTGGAGAGCCTGGTGCTCACTGACACGGCTGATGGTGAACACACATATATGATTTGTGTATTTCATCATGTCCTTCATCCTTCATTATTAGTGACACTAGCCGTTTTTCTTCTGTGGTGTTCTTCAGTGTTCATCTCTAACCTCACCATCCAGAGGCAGTACTTCCCCAACGATGACGACCAGATCGGAGCCGCCAAAGCACTGATGAGGCTGCTGGACACCTATCAGCTGGACACCAACACCATCTCCACCGGGCAGCTGCCAGGTGAGAGCAAAGCCTGGCCGTCAGAAATTAACATTACAACAAGATTATTTTTGGCCACTATGGTCACAATAAGAAAGAATATATACAACAATATGCGTCAGGAATCTACAAGAAAAATAGATGATAATAAAGACACAATATTTGCACATAAAGCCTCGTTTCCTGGACTGTCTGAACAGACCGAGGGTCTAGGTACCATGTCTGAAGGGTTACTGTTGGTTCCAAAGGTACTGGACTGAAAGTGTTTGGTGGAAGTAGGGCGACTCAGAATTATGTCAGTCGAATCAGATTCAGGCTTTTAAATATGTATATTTGCTGATGTATTTATTTACTTTTTCATTTGAAGTTTTGAAGGTTGGGTTCAGTTAGATGTTCAGTGTGACAGCATCATTCATGTAATATAGTAAACAAGCTAACAACAGGTCGGAAATGTGCAACATTTTTTGCCAACACTAGCTATCAAACCAAAGTCAGAGACTGTGTCGTATTAAGTGTCTGTGAGCTGTTTATTCAGCACCTCCAAGTAGAAGAGAGAAGATGATGTTCTCTCAGAGCCTTATGGTGGAAAGCTTCTCCTCCTCTGTGCCGCTACATGACGTTCACAGCTGTCTGTACCAAAGAGTACTGCTCGACTCAAAGCAATCTTAGTGGACTGAGGAGTCTCTAGACTCACAAGTCAGTCTTTAGACGCTTTGCTTAACTAAAGACTGATGACTTTCTCCCTGATTTTGTGTTTAGATGGGCGGATACAATTTCAGAGTTTAAAAAAACTCCCTACATTGCAGAACCAATAGAAAATCTGCAGGGCGGTCCTTCGGTGGCTCGCTGAACTCTTGTGCTTGTAAACATAGTCCCACTAGAAACATGTGTAGCGGTACAAAATGGCTCAGCTGCGCTCGCAGAAAACGCCGTCAAAGTTAGTGGATGTTTGTCGCGTTTGCGGCGACACATTCTCGCCAACTAAAAGAAACAAACATAATCTTTTACAAGGCCATGACTCATCCGTCCGGCCGGACTATAGAGGGAATCGCCTATATATATCTCACATTTTTCACATCACTGTATCACAGTTTAGACTAATCCGATGTTTGTAAAGTCTATAAACACAATGATTGAACAAACATTACTATTTCTTAGCCGTTAGCGGTGTCTGTAATAGGTAATAACTCATTAAACGGTCCGTGAAAAAAAAGTATTTTTTCCAGCGGATATCTTAGTTACAACATGATTGAGCTAGCAAAGCAGTTTTGTGTTGCTATGTGTGGTATTTATTCAGTTTTGGGAAATCACGATGTCTAGAAAGCATCAGTGACTGCAGCTGACAGGGACAGGTAACAGCAGCAGCAAAGCTAACATCAGGACGTCATCTGTTAAAAGCCTCCCGTTGTCAGATACGACATGAAACTACTCCAGTTAGCTCAATCATGTTGTAACTCAGACATCCGCTGGAAAAAATATTTTCTTCACGGATGGGCACACGTTTGATAAAACGGAGTTTAATCTCTCAGCATCCATTTTCAAGCTCTCTGTGCGTTTGTTTCCTTGCGGACGAGAAAAGGGGGAGCGCACATTTCAAAGAAGGCGTGTCCTTTTCAAAAATGAAAGAAGAGTTGCTTTGTTGCCGGCCATTTAAGCCAGTGTGTTAAACACACTTTAGAAAGGAGTGTCCCCAGACTATCAGAAGGCGGAGATCTCTGATTGTCTGGTGGCGAGACTAAGGAGTCTCCAACTGATGATTCGAATCTCTGACTTTCGAGGGGCAGCCCTAATAAAAAGTTGCAATATTTATAGTTTTCTTAGTTTTATTTAGTTTTTTTAGTTCTAATGTCACAGCAGAGGTGTTACCATTCAGTCATAGAAGAAATACAGAGACTCAGTTTATCACATAAATGTTATTAAGCCAATTTTATTTATATTTCAGAGTTCATAGCCTGTAAAACATGTTGTCATGCTGCGTCCTCTTGCTTGATAATAATTTGGACTACCAGAAAGTCTCACCTTAGGAGCAGGGATGTTTTTGGCACCACGAAGTAAACTTAGGCAAGGCAGCTTTATTTGTGTAACACCTTTCATACACCAGGGCAATGTAAAGTGTTTTACAGAGCAATAAAATATAAAACATGATAAAGGATACAGATTTACAATAAAAGAATAAATAGACAAAAATATTTAAAAGGTAAATTTAATTACTAAATGATTTAAAATGTAATAAAAAAGTGCAAAGATTTAAAGAAGTATTTAAAATGAGTTAAAATCAAGTTTAAAAATCAGTTTGCAGTCAGTACAGGGTGGAGCGGGCAGTGTAAAAAAGGAATGTATTTAGTTTTGACTTTGAAGTGTTCAGAGTCGGGTCTGTCTAACATCTGGGAGGTTATTATGGGTTTGTGCTGCCTCTTAGGACGGTCAGTAGGCCGGCCCGAGAGGTCCTCAAGGTCCGAGAAGGTTCATATGTTTCAAGCATGTCAGAGATATATTTGGGTGCTGAGCTGCAGAGTGATTTATACACAAGCTGCAGGATGTTGAGAGCTGACACTCAGTCTGTCTTTAGACCCCGAGAGCTCAGTAAATGTTCCTAAGTTCCATAAAATGTCCCGGCTGTGGAAAAAAAGACAGATAGAGAACCCTAAGTGAGAAACATCCACTCAGGAAGGATTTTGTGCCCCTCTCTCGCTGCCTCAGGCACGTCCTTGGTGGCCTCACACCGGACCACTCTGACTGTGGATGACTGCTACGACCTCGGGAAGGTGGCATACTCGGAGGCGGACTACTACCACACGGAGCTGTGGATGGTTCAGGCCCTGAAGCAGCTGGACGGGGGAGAGGCGTCTGACACCGTGGACGCCGTCACCATCCTGGACTACCTAAGCTACTCTGTCTACCAGCAGGGGGACCTGGAGGGAGCGCTGACCTACACCCAGAGGCTGCTGGAGCTCGGTCAGTAATGGGATGCACAGAATTTTATGGAGGACAAAAAATGAATTAAGTATCAACAAATAAACAAATAATATATAATAACATATAACATATAAAATAAACAAGAATAAATAAATATAGAAACACTTATAGAAACACTAATGTATAAATAAATACAAAAATAAATAAATAAATACACGAATGAATAAATGTCTAAATAAATAAATAATTAAAGAAATTAAAGAAATATAAATAATATAAATAAATACTGAAATAATAAATGAATAAATAAATAAAAGTAGTTGTACAAAAATGCAGAAATAAATATTAATTTATTTATCTTGTGTTTAATTATCAACTTTATTTATTTATGCATTTTCATATTCATTTCAATGTTTATTATTTAATTTATTTATGAATTTATTTTTATATTTATTTATGTCCTCCATGTACCATTTGACCTTTTTTTTTTTGACTGAGCTGGATTATGACACTTCCTGTTTAGACCCGACGCACCAGCGAGCCAACGGGAACCTGAAGTACTTTGAGTATCAGCTGGCCAAACAGAAGAAGGTGGAGGGGACTGAGAACGAGAGTGAGGTCAGGCAGAGGAGGGAGACCCAGAGTCGACCTGCCGATTACCTGCCAGAGAGGAAGAAGTACGAGCAGCTGTGTCGTGGCGAGGGCATCAGGATGGTGAGGAGACGGAAACAAACACATAAAAACGCTTCACTGTTAGATATCATTATCATCATCATCATCATCATCATCCCGCCTGTCTTTTCTGACAGAACCCTCGCAGGCAGAGCCGCCTCTTCTGCCGTTACTATGACAACAACCGCCACCCGAAATACGTGATTGGTCCGGTGAAGCAGGAGGATGAGTGGGACCGCCCCCGCATAGTCCGATACCACGACATCGTGTCGGACGCTGAGATGGAGAAGGTGAAAGAGCTGGCTAAACCCCGGGTGAGTCAGTCATGTTTGTGTTTATGTGCTCTAATACAAGATGCTAATGTTAGCATGCCAGGCTAACTCACTCACTCATCAGCTACAGCAGTAACAATCACTTCTGTTTTAAAGTTATGAATCAGCTGTAATATTGATGTGTTTTTTTCTTTCCTTCATAGATAACTGTTTTAACAGAGTTACAAACAGTTTAATTCAGACACCAAGTGTGTCATAATGATCTGACAGAATACAAACGGTTATAAAATAACCACAGTCAAACAGAATATAACTATTATTAAATGATAATAATCTAATCCGGGCCAGGTTTGGTCCTGCAGCTCTCCCCTCTGTGTCCTCAGCCCCTGTAACTGTATCAGTACTTTTAATATTACAGCTCTGTTTTCTGCTCACATGTTGATGAATGAACAAACATGAGAGCAGGAAACGGAGCTGATGTTGCCTCCCTGACTGCAGCATCTCTGTGTCAGCTACTGACCTGTCTCCCTCTCTCTCTCTCTGTCTCTCTGTGTATTTATAATGTGATGGATGAACTAGCTCAGACGTGCCACGGTTCACGACCCTCAGACAGGCAAACTGACCACGGCCCACTACAGAGTCTCCAAGAGGTAAGAAGAGCTGGCTCCACTTTTTGAATGGTGAACACAGACTGACACCACCTGCTGGTGTGGAGAGTTATTTCCTCTCACGCAGGCGCAGAACGTACATGTTGGCTGTCGTCTTTGTTAGTGTGTTCAAGTGCAACTTTTTGGCCGAGGCACAGGCAACGTAATAGTCGGCCTTTGTTTCCACTGGTTCTTTGATTTCAGTTCGGTGCGTGTCTTTACTGTTCAGTTAATGATTTTAAATGTGTGACAGTATCCTCCTCTCCTCTCCTCTCCTCTCCTCTCCTCCTCCCTCAGCGCTTGGCTCGGAGCGTTTGAACATCCGGTGGTGGACAGGATCAACCAGAGGATCGAGGACATCACCGGCCTGGACGTCACCACAGCAGAGGAGCTGCAGGTAACACTCACCTGGAGTCTCATTAATAAATATTGTGTACACACAGACTTGATGGGAAATTAGCGATGCAGATGGTGAGGAGGAAGCCTGATTGTAGAAACGATCAAATAGTTTTTGCCGCACACCATTTCTGGCTTTTGTATGTACGTGCATTTTTAGTGTGGATCCTACACATTGTTTTATAAAGGAGAGCCCAGGTCACACAAGTGTCTTTTTAAGTTTATAAACTCATTCAGAAGCACACGCCCCGTGCACAGCACTCTCAGTCCCTTTGACTTGGGGCAGGTGATGGCAGGAAACATCAGATTGATAGTGTATCAGTAGATGCACCCCACACAAGAGGGCTGAACCGCTTCTTCTTTTAATTTAATCTTCATTTGAAACACTTTGCCCACAGCTTCATAAGTTAACATACAGACACCATGAACTCATGTAAACCAGGTCCAGAGTGCTGCTAATACATTTACAACTTTAATTTGATATACATATATATATATATATATATATGTTCTTCATTTCTTAAAATGCTGCTGCAGGTGGCGAACTATGGTGTTGGAGGACAGTACGAGCCGCACTTCGACTTTGGACGGGTAAGTAAATGTTTAACTTGTGCAGCAGGAGTCACTGAGGTGTTGTGTGTTTCACTGTCTGCAAATAATTCACCTCTAAAATCACAAACGACCCTCCAGATTTGTCCTGATTTTTTTCTTCAGAAAGATGAACCAGATGCTTTTGAAGAGCTCGGGACAGGAAACAGAATCGCCACCTGGCTGCTCTACGTCAGTCATCATTAATATTAATTATTATTAATCAGTATTAAACAATGTGCTGCTGAAGCTGATGAGCTGTCTCCTCCTGCAGATGAGTGATGTACAGGCAGGGGGCGCCACAGTCTTCACGGAAGTCGGAGCTGCTGTGTGGCCCAAAAAGGTACTGTTCACTTCAGAGGATCAGTTAACTGATTATTGTCACTGACCTTTAAACTTCTGACTGTTTCCATGATTAATTTTTTGATAATAGAATCATATTTAATTTATTTTCAAAGAAGATGAAGAAACGAGCAAATATTCACATTAGAGAAGTTAGAACATGTGAATGTTGGGGATTGTTCTGCTTGTTTAAATGACTAAAGTGATTATTAATTTACTGACTATTTATTTTAGTTGTAGTTCAGATTTTATCTGATTTTTTTAATTGTGTAGTCTTTATATATATGAAACAATGCACTTTTTAATGCTCATGTTACATATATTTTTAATTTTTGAAATTTTATTTTGGTATTTCTTCTTTCTAATCCTTATTATTTACGGTTATTATTGAAAGTAATTAATACACAGTGGTCTGTCAGCACATTCTTTGGAGTATGCTGCACCTAACATTATAAAGATATGTGACAAATAAAACTTTAAGACTTGAATCTTAATAAACAGTTTAAAAAGGTTGAATTATTTTTATAAAAACTTTTTTTGTAGCCATATTTTTAGAAACAAGAAACAGGTACAGGTGATGTTTTTATTAATATTTGATGTTTAATTTCCAAGGGTTCCTTTGAAGCTGCAGCGACAGTTACAGCTAATGGACGAGTAGATAAATGGTTTCAGCTCTAACAGTGAAGTGTCGCTGTTTGTGTGTGTGTTCAGGGGACGGCAGTGTTCTGGTATAATCTGCACCCCAGTGGAGAAGGAGACTTTCTGACCAGACACGCTGCCTGTCCTGTTCTGGTCGGAAACAAGTGGGGTGAGTTGTCAACAGAAATGTAATGTAACATCAGTTGAAGCCATTTTCTCGCTCGTGCATGTCCGTTAAAGGTAACAGAAAAAATTAAACAGCCAGATAACTACGCTAGATGATGCGCAGTGTAACGTTAGCAGTGGTGCCGAATATTTAAGTGACGACTGCTGAACTTGATAAGCCTGATATATAATGCATGGATGGAGACACAATATAAACAGGACGGTGCATTCTGCTGCCGGCGCTCCAGGATGCTTTTACTTCAAGTGTCCGTGCAGAGCAGTTTTACCACCAGTACAGATATTCCCACCTTTTACTTGATGATAATCGTGCTCGTAAAAAAGTAGATCTGTATCAGTCACTGGTTTCAACTCCAGTGTAAATGTTCCTGAACATCTGACTGTGGCTCCAGAACAGAATCAGACCAACACACAGCTCTTTATAGATCTGATGTTTGTAAAGTGCGTCTGTATATTTCTGTCTTTGATTGTTCACACAGTCACGATTTTAAACACAGTTGCGTCGTCATCATCTGAATCTGAATCTGAATCATCTCTCTGTCTGCCTGCAGTGTCCAATAAATGGATCCATGAACGAGGGCAGGAGTTCAGGAGGCGCTGTGGCCTCCGGGAGACTGACTGACAACCAGCCTCCTCCTCCTCCTCCTCCTCCTCCTCCTCCTCCTCCTCCCAACCCTTCAAGCTGCTGAGGCTGTGGCGGCACATGTGATCTGATTTATTTTTATCTGAAGAGTGAGTGTGTTCAGTGTGTGTGTGTGTGTGTTACAGTGTGTGTGCTCCATCACCTTTTTTAAAACTCCATAATCACAATCTAATATCAGGTTTACTGACAAAACACACGACTCGGACAGATATCAGTCTGATGTCACTCAGTACACCCAGCCTCTCCCAAAATGTTACCATGGCGACTGCTGCAGTGTCGTCACATAGCGCCACTCCACTGTTTGACTTCCAGCTGCTTTTTTTAACTCCCTACCATAAATATTTTATGTGTTTATTCGCACTGTTAACGCCTTCTGTCTGATGTGTTCATGAAGGTAATTTAAGTCAAAACCACTCCATCACGGGGCGCCAACTAGCTCGCCCAGTGGAGCCAGCGCCCCGTGTATAAAGGCTGTGTCCTAGCTGCAGCGGCTGCTGGTTTGATTCCAACTCCAGACCTTTGCTGCACGTCACCCCCTCTCTCTTCTGTCCCCGTTTCACACTACACTTTCTAAGACTTGCTGCCTTGCTAAAGGCAAAAAAGCCAAAAAAGAAATCTTAAAAGAAAAGAAAAGAAAAGAAAAACTCCATCACTTGCCTTTTTTTACTGAAGCAAAAGCATTAACACCACTGTGCACAGATTCTCTGTGGTGTGGTCATAAAGTAAATTAGAATACAAACTTCTTGTCACACCATCATGATCTCCTCCTCCCTCTCTGACTAGTTACACCCCTCTTTTCCACCAATACAATCTGTGTATCTGTGTATATGTGTGTGTGTGTGTGTGTGTGTGTGTGTGTGTGTGTGTGGCTATTTCAGCCTTGAGGTCATTCACTGACAAACAACAGATGACATTTAAAGGAGGCACGCTCTGTGACCGTGTATCCCTCCTCCTGCTCCTCGTGTTGTCTTTTATTTGAACAGTCAAACACGTGCAGCTCTGCTGAAGGTCACACTTGAATTTCACCCTTTAATCTTTAATTGTAACAGTTGTCACATGAGGGCAGATGTTTTTAAAACTGCTGTGTGAAACACATACAAACAGCAGCATCACGGAGTAAATTATTAAAAGCGTTTCCCACAGAATTAGAATCTGTTATGGCGCTGATTGCCGACCATCAGCTGTTGCTGCCGTTTGAAGCAGTGCCTCCCTGAGCCACTGTCTTCGTGCTCTCTCTGCGTGGTTAGCACGAGCTAACATGGTAAACATGTTCTCATAACTACTCGTCATATTTTGCTCTGCAGCAGCGGTTAACATCCAGCACCAAGCAGTTAATCTCACACCAACACCAGAATGGTTTGATTTTGTTGTTTAACCTGTTAATAACCATTGGTTAACGCTAGCATTGTGATGCTAACAGTTAGCCAGGTCACTGTGCCTGTGTCACAGAGCTCCAGTCCTGCAGCACTAGTGTCATGAGTCTCACAGAGAGACGGAGGGGCTGAGCGAATCATTATGCTTACGTATTTTTTTAATAATCTGAGTCTGTAGAGCAACAAAAGCAGTTACATAAATGTAGGCAAGTAAAAAGTACAATATTTACCATTGAGATGTAGCAGAGTAGACATATAACGTGAAATACATGAAATATGTACATCAGCATAGGCATAAAGTACAGTGCTAGAATAAATAAATGTACTCAGTTACATCCCACCATTAGAAAACATAAAGTGGAATAAATGGGAATCATCATCAATGTAAATTCAAATCTCACCTGGTCATGTATAGTTAAAGAATAATGTGAATAAATTGAAATAGGTCTTTAATATGAGGCTTCAGATTTCCTCCTGAAGACATCAGCATACATGTGCACATGTGAGTGTTGTTTTACCACAGCAGGCTTTTAAAAACGTCTCCTTTAAATGTCCAGCTGTCCTCCATCACTGACCTCAGAACTCTTTCACTGCTGCAGAAATCCTGTCCGCCTAATACACAAACAATACTATTATTTTATGCAAAGAAATGTGAGGTGCACTCCTGTTTATGTGTGACAGATGATTTTGTTACAAGAACAAATGTAAAGAATGTAATGGAGTTGCTTTGTGAGATGTAAAATATGTTTCTAATCAATGAATAAATATAAAGAACTGCTGCAACAGATAAAAAACTCTCTACTGACTGATGCAACGACAAAATGTCACTTTCCAAATACTCAAACTCAACACTGGAATCTACTTGTGTGTTATTTGTTATTTCATTTTATTTGACATGTTCTCCCAGTGTCAGCGTGGGTTTCCTCCAGGTGCTCCAACATGTTCTCCCTTTGTCAGCGTGGGTTTCCTCCAGGTGCTCCGACATGTTCTCCCTGTGTCAGCGTGGGTTTCCTCCGGGTGCTCCGACATGTTCTCCCCGTGTTAGTGTGGGTTTCCTCCAGATGCTCCAACATGTTCTCTTCGTGATAGCGTAGGTTTCCTCCAGGTGCTCCAATATGTTCTCCCTGTGTCAGCGTGGGTTTCCTCCAGGTGCTCCGACATGTTCTCCCTTTGTCAGCGTGGGTTTCCTCCAGGTGCTCCGACATGTTCTCCCTGTGTCAGCGTAGGTTTCCTCCAGGTGCTCCGACATGTCCTCCCCGTGTTAGTGTGGGTTTCCTCCAGATGCTCCAACATGTTCTCTTCATGATAGCGTAGGTTTCCTCCAGGTGCTCCGACATGTTCTCCCAGTGTCAGCGTGGGTTGTGTGTCTTCCCTCCTTTGTTCTCAAACTTTTATGCTTTAATATCCTGTTTCCGCCAGGAGAAGCGTCAAAATAAAAGTTCCATAGGATCAAAAGAAAAAGGGGACACCCAAAATAAAGGTTGACAGGAAGTAACTTAGATTCAACCTTATTTACAGACCGGAATTTACCCTTTAAAAGTCAGTTGCATCCACCGACTTAGCACCTGTGTTTGAGGACTTTGGTTGGTGGCCGCTGCATCAACAACTGCTGCCGCCCGGTGCATATTATACGGCCGCGACAGGTGCCTTTGTGCGTTGGTATCTGACGCCCAGATCACTGTCAGAGTGTTGGTATTTGACAAGTTTGGATGGGAACAGGCTGATAAATGAGACTTGGATTAGCCTGCAGGAGTCGTGTGAGAGTTTCTAAACAGGTGTTTTCATATAGTTTTGCTGTTGTTGAACGCAGCCTTGTTTTATTTCAATTTTTGGATTCTTCGTTCACTGTGCAGGAAGCAAAGTTTTCTTCAAGAACTCAATGTAACACACGTTATTAATACAGAAATGGTCTTTTTGCTGACAAAATATTCTTTTACAGTATTTGAGCAAATATACTTAGTTACATTCAACCTTCTTTGACTTCATCACCATGGTTACAGACTGTAGTAGCATAAACATTATAAACTTTCACTGATTGTTTGATTTTAACAGGATGAATTTTATTTTATTACATTTTCAGATAATAAAACATTGTCTTTAATTTATTTTGGTGAATTCACATTTGAGGTAGTTTCATTAAATTTACAGATCAAACAGTTCGTCAATAGGTCAGTGAATTGATCAACAGAACACTGACGACAATGTTCACCATCAATTGCTTGTTATTTATTTTTCTGCTTTGCTGCTTTACATCACTTTAATGCAAAGTCTTCACAAGTCACTCTTTTACTCTTCTGACAGTTCAGAGATGAAACAATCAATAAATAACATAATTTATGCTTTGTTGTTTTTTAAAATTGACCTCCTGAAAGCAGAGAGCGAGCGTTCCGTCCACAGGAGCATCTTTGGTTTAAAGCGCCATAGGTTGGACTTCTGCACTTCCTTGACATCACGGAGTTTAATCATCTCTGAGGTCTTTAAGTTAAAATCTGATTGTCCCTTTAGTTCCTGCAGGTGATCAGAGACGTTCAGGTGTCCATCAGAGCAGTCGGAGAAGCCGGTGTCGTCCCCTACCCATCAAGGCTCGGGCAAGCGGTAATCTGGTGGGTGGTTTCCCTCACGGAGACGTCCAAAACAGGCGAGCAGCACATCCACCGCCGTGTTAACCGTGGACTGGATTTGATCTTCGGTCTGGCCCCTCAGAGGATTCACCTCCACCAGGTCCACCGCTGACAGAAGACCTGCAGGACGAGCACAGGTGTGAGGGGACACTTCATCAAACAGTCGGGGTTTTGTATTCTTAAAAAGTCTTAAAGGGCATTTTCAATCAGATGTGTCATCGCAGTGTGTGCAGACGAACAGTGTTTGGCTTCCCACTGATCCACAAGTGGAGGTCTGCGGGACTTTGAGCCGGCAAATGAGGGGGGAGCTCCAGGTGTTTGGTTTCCATCCTGTGCCACGAGCGCTCGCAGCTCATTTGCCACTGGAGGTCCACCAGACTTTTGCATGCACGCACTGCTATGACACAGTGCTGGCTGAAAATCAGTAATGTTTCCTTTTAACTTCCTAATTTGCTATTTTTAAAGCTACAGTATCTGTTATATTTCACAGATGGACTTTCAGTGGTTGGACCGCCCCCTGACTCCTAGCTGGATCAGAAAACTCTCCAGCTATGTAATTTCAGAGTGGTGGGAAGTGAGAGGGAGGGACTGTGGAGTACATCCATGGGTGTGCTAGCTAGCTAGCAGCGGTCTTTATCAATGGTGCTGGCTGGCAGTCATGCAGAAGTCTAAAGTGGCAGACACGTTCCGAGACTGAGTCGTACCTGTCTTACACACGTTTTCAGCGATGTAGACTCCCTCTCTGTAGGATAGCCCTCCGACTACAGATGTCCCTGTTGCCGGGGCAACAGATGGGTCAATGGCATCGATGTCGTAGCTCAGGTGGATCGGTTTCTTTACTCTGTTCAAATAATAAAAAAAACATTTATTATGAATATTAATATGATAACGTGCAGAGTGAGTATAACTGACTCTCACCACTACAATCATTTAGTGACTGCTCTAGAGCTTTTGATCATGTCACACAGTCTTCTTCAAAAGTTTTCATGCAGAGTTCAACTCTGTTGTTTAGTGAATGCTCGATAGTTGCTCAGGTGGCTCCTCAGAGTGCTAGTAGGTCTTTAGATACAAAATAAAAGTTTACTTGGCGAAGAGGTAGTCGCAGGTCTCCTCCATGACTTTGGCTATGCCAAGCTGATCAACCTCCGACATGGAAAACGCCTTCACACCTAAAAGCTTCAGGATATAGCTGGAAAAATAAAAGAAACATGAGTTATTATTTTATTCTGACTTGTTTGCTGTTTCACTGTTGACCAGTGGGCACCAACGCTTCTGACCAAAAAGACAGATAAGTGGTGTGAAATCTTTGCGGAGCCAAGACGGCTCACCAACAAAGTACCACTAAAAATATTCTGCTTTCCACAAAGTAACATTCAGATCCTCTCCTGAAGTAAAAGTACTGATACCACACTGTGAAAAAACCCCACACGTCTCGTCACTTTGCTGATTTTCAACCAGCTCTGTGTCGTCGCAGTGAGAGCAGATAAACAGTGTTTGGCTTCTCCCTGTGCCGTGAGTGCCCAAAGCTCCCCACCTATCCACCAGCAAAGGTCGGTCACCATGCAGACTTTTGCTCACTCTGCAGTGACACAGAGCTGGTTCAAAAACTATATATTTCCTTAAAGTAAAAGTATGTAAGTGTAATCTATGGGTTGCCAAATTTTAAAATTTTGTAGCCTAACAATATTCTAGCTGATATATTTTGAATATTTAGCAAATTTTCCTCACATTTAAGACGCAAATTCATGTAAAACATGTTATATGTAAATATTTACATATTTACAATGTGTTTATTTGTAAAAAAAAAAGTTATATCTAAATGTTGAATCTAAACGCTAGGTTTAAATGTAAAATCGAAATATTAAAAACTAAATCTAAATGTTTAATTTGGACGAGTCAAGGAATGTTACTTCTAAATGTTGAAAATAATAATTAAATCTATATTAACAGGCTAAATCTCAATGTTAAATCTGCATCTAAAAATTAAATCTAAATCTAAACAACCTTTAAATGATAAATATAAATATTGAAATATAATCTGAATGTTAAAAATATTAATTAGGGACCGAGCCTACAGGCAGAGGACTGCTCACACAGCAGTCCATTGTTTTTGCTCCGTTTATTATTATTCTTTCTCCCGCCGCCTCTTTGAACTGGAATTTGACCCCCTAAACATACTCAAAAACTCACCAAAATTGGCACGCACATCAGAACTGGTGAAAAATTTTAGAAAATCATAACATTAACCCCTAAAGTGCCAAAATGGGCTCTCTAGCGCCACCTAGGCACACAAAAATGGCCGCTACGGCCTGTAGGAACGTCGTAGAAACATGGAACTAAAAGTGGCGTGTTCGTCTCATGAAGACCTAAAAATCACGCGCTGACACCCCTGACCTAAATCCAACAGGAAGTGAGCTATTTGCCCTTTCAAAGTAAGATTTTGCCTTAAAACTGCCTTTCCTAAAAAATCTTCTTCTCATACACCGCTTATCCAATCGGCTTCAAACTTGCACACATGACAGATCAACTCGTTCTAATCAAAAGTTATTCGTAACTTTTTCATTACTCGCTTAGTTTGGATTTTATGGGCTCCATAAGGTGAGATGTCAGAAAAACATCCTGACGATCTTCGAAAGCTGTCCCATGGGAAATGAATGGCAGCAGGGGGGAGAAAGAGACCAATCTTAGGGCTTTTTCTAGCATTTATAGTGTCTCCATACTTTGTGCTACAGACTCCATTCCAACTCTCAAATGTTGCCACAGGTCTCATCTATTCACTCATGTTTTCATCTTTTTCATATCTTTTACCGTTTTTCATCTGTGCCTCTCAAAGTACAATGAGCAAAAGTGGAGAAATTCTCAGTTTACAATGGGTGTGTATTGCAAGGAATGCTGTGAGCTAGAGTGGAGAGGGCTCTAAAAATCGTCTAAAACTTTTGTCTTTAACTCGCTGCCATGGCCACAATTTTCATTGTACACACAATTTATACCACAAAACGTAGGAAAATTTGTCCAGCTCACAGATATGTTGACATGGAATCTCTCACACGTACACATTTTTGCTGAGTGGCTCCAAAGCGAAGGGAGCGCTGATTTTTTTCTCATTCACTCCCATGTAAACTCAGAGGAGAAATTTCTGGAAATAGCTGAGGTGCAACACATTTTAAACTCGCTCCCCTGACCACATTTTTGACTCGAGAAATATAAAACGCGACACGTGCGTTCACGAGACGTGGCTGTCTCTCAAAATCACTTTATTTTCTTGCTTGGACCAACGGTTTGGGTATGCGAAGCATTTGTTCGAGGAGTTAAATCCCTTTATAAACAGCCTTTGGTGATCTGCTCTCCTGACGTGTCTGTGTCTGCCACAGGTGCGGGCAAGTCATTAATCGCCATGACAACGGCTGCACACACAGACACAGCCACAGGGATCTCTGGTCTGTGTGTCTCACAATCTTTAAAGGACAGATTACAGCAGCAGAAACTTCATTTGAAACAGAACACACACATTATTAACCCCTACAGTGCCAAAATGGGCTCTCTAGCGCCACATAGGTGCACTAAACTGGCCACTGCAGCCCGTAGGAATGTCGTATCAAGATCAAACCAAAACTGGTGTGTTTGACTTACAAATCACGCGTTGACACCCATGACCTAATTCCAACAGGAAGTGAGCTACTTGACCTTTCAAAGTAAGATTTCACCTCAAACGTGCTCTCAAAAAAAACACATCTCCTCCTACATTGTTTATCATATCGCCTTCAAACAGGGACACGTGACAGCTCAACTGCTGCTAAACAGATCTTCTTTATAACTTTATCTCTCTCACCATTACTTTTTTTTGATGATTGGACCAGCGGTTTGGGAATGGGAAGAACTTCTTCGAGGAGTTAAATCTCCACTAAAACAGGTCTCTCTGTGTTCTGTCACTCTCTCTGCTCTTCTGCCAGGTGCACTTACTTCATCACCATGGCAACCGCTGTCACACACAAACTCACAGAAACATGATGTGTGTGTGTGTCTAAATCTTACATGCAGACATGACAGGGGCACAAACTCCATTTTAACCCATTAGGTGCCAGAGTTTATTGAGGAAAATATTCCATTTTCATTTCAACATTTCAAAAGGCTGTGGCTTGAAAGTGGTGAAAGATAAAGGCATACTGTAAATGAGAAAACTATTCATCATGACCCAAAGTTTGTCACTGGAGTAAATTCACTCATCTAATTTGCATATTGTGGTGTCATTAGGCGGTGACCATATTGGATTTCATAAAGCTCAGTAAAACAACATTTTGAACATATTTACACAGTAGATTTCTTTTGTTTTGTGCTGTTTTTGTCATCTCATCCTCAAAATAAAGGACGAGGAATCTGATGAGAAGAAATTCACTCATCTAATTTGCATATCGTGACATCACTTATCCATACCTACAGCTACAGAAAGCATTCAAACATAAAAACGTTCAGCTCTGTAAGGATTTTCTGATGTTTGTGGCAATATGTTTGATATTTCTAAATAATTCACAGTGACAACTTAACTTGGGGGCCGAAACGGGCGCGAGTGCGAGGTCCCGCCAAACGCTGCTTGCAGCTTTAATTCAATCTATATTTAGAGGCTAAATGTAAATGTTAAAGCCAAAGCTAAGTGTTAAATCTAGTCTTAATATTAAATCACTGAATGTCACTGAACGTCAATCTAAATATTAAATCTTAATATCAAATCTAAATATTAAATCTAAATGCTAAGTCTAGTCTTTATAGTCAATCTAAATGGTACATCTAAATTTTAAATCTAAATGTAGATGCTAAATCTAAATATTGAATCCAAATGTTAAGTCTAGTCTATATATTCAATCTAAATCTAAATGCTACATCTAAACGTTAAATATAAATGTTAAATTTACATATTAATTTTTAGTTAAATCTAATTAATTAAATCTATTCTTATAGTCTAAATATAAATGTTAAATATAAATGTCAAATCAGCCTACTTTAGATTAATCCACAAGTACATTGTTCAATTCCACCACTGGAAATTTGTTTATATTTTCTTGTAGAGAATAAATTAAGTAAATTATTACCTGATAAACATTTGAATGTTCGCACATTTAGCTCAGAGCACCTCAGTGTTTGACTACAACCTCACAGAGCTGCTGACTGTAGATTCAAATTAATCTCAGTCAATCTTTGGAGTCAAACAGCTGTTTGGAAACAGTAAAAGACTATTGAGACTATTACCGAGTGTCAGCAATGTCTGGAAGTGAAATTAAAATCTAAAACTCGACAGTCTAAAAACCTACTGCTCTGCTGGATCCACGTCTCTCAGACCGATGTAGACCAGGTCTTTGGCCGACACACACGGTTTGATCCACGACAAGTTCGGCAGGGCGGGAATCTGATGACAGAAAAAACGACAGTAATTATGATACGTTATGTTACCTTACGCTATTCTACATTACGTTATTCAAAACTATCTGTACTATCACAACCCTGTCACTTTACCTCGTCATTTTGTCTTCTTATTTTTACTTCTGGTTTTGTTTAGTTTTATATACCTCTTCTTTTTCTTCTTCTGGTGATCTGTACTTACTTCTGTCTTTGTGGTGCTACAACACTTACCTGAATTTCCCCTCTGGAGAGCAATAAAGGCAAATCTTATCTCATCATATCTTATTTTAAAGTATCGAATCACATCATATCATAAGGTACCTAATCGTATCGAATCATCGCATCACATTACATTGCATCATATTGTATCGTATCTTGTAATATTGTCTCACTGAATCATATCGTATCTTTAATGAACTTATATCTTCTCATATCTTATCTATAACCCAGGTTGACTACTTTGAGGTGTCAATTTCACTCTTTCGGTTCAATTCAAAGACTCGTAGACAAACTCTTCTACTAACAGACACAGTTAGCGGGTTCCTTCCACGTGTCCCTAATAAACTGACCTTTGAGTGCAGCTCATGGAGGAGGTAAGACATGGGCTGTCCGTGCATGTTTCCAGTGTACGTGGTCAGTGGCGTGTTGATGTCTGCATGGGCGTCGACCCACAGGACACTCAGCTCCCCGACCGCCGCCGAGTGACCGTGAATGGAGCCGATCGCCAGACTGATGAACCAATGACAAACCAGAGAGATGTCGCCATGGAAACACTCAAAACATTACATCATTCTAGAAGATGGTTTTGGTCAGTCCTGGATAGAAAGTACACTTTACTCCAGTATTTTCATTTGATTCTACTTTTACTTTGTATTCTATTTCATTTTTCTGACAGCTGTCATTTCAGTATAAAGTCATTAAAATGAGCTCCTGCAACATTAAAGTGATGAACACATTAATGCATCAATAATTACAATCCTTTAATATATTATATATTATTCTAAAATGGGCCATTCTACATAACGAGTACTTTTATTTTTGGTCCTATAAATATATTTTGAAGCTAATACCTGTACTTGTAGAAAATTATGAAGGCATTCTTGTAACAGAGAATTTCTGCCCTTTGGTTTTACTACTTTAAATAGATATCTGAATACTGGGTTTAATGGTTGAAAAAAAGGAGATTTTTTTTTAAGCTTTTTAAATTAAGTTTACAGGTTTTATTGATGTGAAAAGAACCTTTAAAGCAAAATCAACCGTATCCAATTGAAGGTGAATTTATCCTTTAGATTTTTTATTTCACTGGTAAATATGATTAACGTCTCTCCATTAAGTCTTTAATCTGAGAAATAACATGTTTGTATTCTGCTCTGATGGACAGTTCAAGTCTAAATCTAAAAGTGTGAACCAACAGTTTAGTGTTGAGCACAGACTGACTGTCTGAACTGATCGATCACTCTGTTTGATCTGAGCTGAAGTGGACCGTGTGTCCTGCTGGTGGATGATTGACAGACGTGACGCTGCTGTTTTTTTACTGAACACACACCAGAGTCAGTTCAGCTATTCACTACATTAAAGTCAGCAGCGTGTGATAAATAACAGACACTGAATACACTTTAAGTGTGAAGAGGGGGTTAACATTTCCACTATATTAAAATCTATTCAAGTACCTCAGTAGTTGAACTTTACTTACTTTACTTACTTCTGCTGCACTACATTTACCTGACAGCTTTTTACATGTTGAGATTTTTCCACACACTCATATACAATAATGTATTAGTCACAGGGGACATTTTTATACTTTCAATACTTTAATTACATTTTCATTACATACTTGGTAGCACTTTATTTGAATGGGTGTACATGAGACTGACATGACATGACATGACACCTGTGTAAATACAATAAAAGAAAAACTATCTCTTGATTTGTCTAATGCTTTCGTTTGGGTATTTAAAATAATTTAGCCGCATAATAAATCCTAATCACATCTTTACGACAAGTCAAAATTGTATCACTCTAGTTGATGTCAAGGAAAACACCAACCCAATCACCAGAAAAAAGATTGGCATTGCGCATTTCTGCAAACCACGGATACATTTGTACGTTATTATATAGCGGCTACACTGAAACTTTACTTTTTAATAAAGCTGTGGTTGAAGTGTGATCAGGTTTAGGCATAAAAACCACTTATGGTTGGAAATTATCATATTTTGATAGCAATAAATTCTCTGGAAATGCGGCCATCAGTGGCTAAAAAAACAACTGCATTTCATGGCACTATCCCAACTGGAAACATAGTAATGGGCCAATAGAAACACCCACATTTGGTGGCTAAAAAGGAGGTGGAAATGCAGCCCCATTGCTTAAAAACAATTGCTTTGCGTAGCACAATCCCAGCTGGAAACACAGCAACAGGTTGCTAAAAAACACCCACATTTGGTGGCTAAAAAGGAGGTGGAAATGCAGCCCCATTGCTAAAAAAACAATTGCTTTGCATAACACATTCCCAGCTGGAAACATAGCAATGACTAAATAAAATACGACCAAGTTTTGTGCCACTATCTCAGCTGGAAACACAGCAACAGGTTGCTAAAAACACCCACATTTGGTGGCTAAAAGGAGCTGGAAATGCAGCCCAATTGCTAAAAAAACAATGGCTTTTTGTAGCACATTCCCTGCTAGAAACATAGCGGTGACTAAGTAGGAAAGAACTGCATTTCGTAGCACATTCCCAGCTGGAAACATAGCAATGACTAAATAAAATACAACCAAGTTTTGTGCAACTATCTCAGCTGGAAACACAGCAACAGGTTGCTAAAAACACCCACATTTGGTGGCTAAAAGGGAGCTGGAAATGCAGCCCAATCGCTAAAAAAACAATGGCTTTGCGTAGCACATTCCCAGCTGGAAACATAGCAATGACTAAATAAAATACAACCAAGTTTTGTGCAACTATCTCAGCTGGAAACACAGCAACAGGTTGCTAAAAACACCCACATTTGGTGGCTAAAAGGGAGCTGGAAATGCAGCCCAATCGCTAAAAAAACAATGGCTTTGCGTAGCACATTCCCAGCTGGAAACATAGCAATGACTAAATAAAATACAACCAAGTTTTGTGCAACTATCTCAGCTGGAAACACAGCAACAGGTTGCTAAAAACACCCACATTTGGTGGCTAAAAGGGAGCTGGAAATGCAGCCCAATCGCTAAAAAAACAATGGCTTTGCGTAGCACATTCCCAGCTGGAAACATAGCAATGACTAAATAAAATACAACCAAGTTTTGTGCAACTATCTCAGCTGGAAACACAGCAACAGGTTGCTAAAAACACCCACATTTGGTGGCTAAAAGGGAGCTGGAAATGCAGCCCAATCGCTAAAAAAACAATGGCTTTGCGTAGCACATTCCCAGCTGGAAACATAGCAATGACTAAATAAAATACAACCAAGTTTTGTGCAACTATCTCAGCTGGAAACACAGCAACAGGTTGCTAAAAACACCCACATTTGGTGGCTAAAAGGGAGCTGGAAATGCAGCCCAATCGCTAAAAAAACAATGGCTTTGCGTAGCACATTCCCAGCTGGAAACATAGCAATGACTAAATAAAATACAACCAAGTTTTGTGCAACTATCTCAGCTGGAAACACAGCAACAGGTTGCTAAAAACACCCACATTTGGTGGCTAAAAGGGAGCTGGAAATGCAGCCCAATCGCTAAAAAAACAATGGCTTTGCGTAGCACATTCCCAGCTGGAAACATAGCAATGACTAAATAAAATACAACCAAGTTTTGTGCAACTATCTCAGCTGGAAACACAGCAACAGGTTGCTAAAAACACCCACATTTGGTGGCTAAAAGGGAGCTGGAAATGCAGCCCAATCGCTAAAAAAACAATGGCTTTGCGTAGCACATTCCCAGCTGGAAACATAGCAATGACTAAATAAAATACAACCAAGTTTTGTGCAACTATCTCAGCTGGAAACACAGCAACAGGTTGCTAAAAACACCCACATTTGGTGGCTAAAAGGGAGCTGGAAATGCAGCCCAATCGCTAAAAAAACAATGGCTTTGCGTAGCACATTCCCAGCTGGAAACATAGCAATGACTAAATAAAATACAACCAAGTTTTGTGCAACTATCTCAGCTGGAAACACAGCAACAGGTTGCTAAAAACACCCACATTTGGTGGCTAAAAGGGAGCTGGAAATGCAGCCCAATCGCTAAAAAAACAATGGCTTTGCGTAGCACATTCCCAGCTGGAAACATAGCAATGACTAAATAAAATACAACCAAGTTTTGTGCAACTATCTCAGCTGGAAACACAGCAACAGGTTGCTAAAAACACCCACATTTGGTGGCTAAAAGGGAGCTGGAAATGCAGCCCAATCGCTAAAAAAACAATGGCTTTGCGTAGCACATTCCCAGCTGGAAACATAGCAATGACTAAATAAAATACAACCAAGTTTTGTGCAACTATCTCAGCTGGAAACACAGCAACAGGTTGCTAAAAACACCCACATTTGGTGGCTAAAAGGGAGCTGGAAATGCAGCCCAATCGCTAAAAAAACAATGGCTTTGCGTAGCACATTCCCAGCTGGAAACATAGCAATGACTAAATAAAATACAACCAAGTTTTGTGCAACTATCTCAGCTGGAAACACAGCAACAGGTTGCTAAAAACACCCACATTTGGTGGCTAAAAGGGAGCTGGAAATGCAGCCCAATCGCTAAAAAAACAATGGCTTTGCGTAGCACATTCCCAGCTGGAAACATAGCAATGACTAAATAAAATACAACCAAGTTTTGTGCAACTATCTCAGCTGGAAACACAGCAACAGGTTGCTAAAAACACCCACATTTGGTGGCTAAAAGGGAGCTGGAAATGCAGCCCAATCGCTAAAAAAACAATGGCTTTGCGTAGCACATTCCCAGCTGGAAACATAGCAATGACTAAATAAAATACAACCAAGTTTTGTGCCACTATCTCAGCTGGAAACACAGCAACAGGTTGCTAAAAACACCCACGTTTGGTGGCTAAATGCAGCGATGATTTGTTCAAAACTAACTGGTTTTGCTGTTTGTTGAGCTTGAACAGAGGTGTCACCATCATCCGTCACCTCCACCTCCACATGATGAAGTCAGCCCATATACTATGTCACTTTAGAAACACTGATATGACATGTATGAAACACATCTGTGATTTGCAGAAAAAAATGCCAACATTTTCTTTATATAAATATTCATGACCTGCCATGTTTATCACAGGTTATGATGTCCTGGTTAATGTCAAGTTGACCTAACAAAGACATCTCTACCAAACTGCCTGAATGACACGTAACATCCAGAAACATTCACAAAGACTCCTTCATGTTCATGATGCTGTCACGTCAGTCTCATGCACGCACATTCAAATAAAGTGCCACCACATACTTTTACTCAACTAACATTTTCAGTGCAGGACTTTTTACAGTGTATTAGTACTGAGACACACCTGTGGTCTCCTCCCAGCATCACTGACGTGTGTCCATCCTTCTTCACAGCCTGCACTTTCTCTGACAGCCTCTGGTTGGCGCTGCCCACCGCCCGCACACGTTTCAACTGACCCACCGGTTCATCGTCCACCACGTCCTCGAACACCAGGTTCCCATAATCCTTCACTGCACAGCCTTTATATATGAACACAGAAATCATGTTTTTATTTCTTCTTCCTCTCTCTATCCTTTATTTTTTTCTACTGAACATCAGAGTTGAGACAAGCAAAGGTTACAATCAGCTGGAAATTACAGTTAAATACAACAAATTTGTAACAGCAAATATGTTTTTGAGTTAAACATGATGCCAAGCAAATTACTTTGTATGACAGAAGCCCTGAGAGGCTCCGTAAAACCAAATCATTTGCAGGCAATGTCTTACATATGAAATTAACTATTTTTGGAAAGAAGACTGAACAGATCCGTTAATCAGGAGGTTCAAGAAACAAACATGGAGGCTGCGGAAAAGACAGAAAGAATTTAGGTTGTTTATTTTTCGGCTGGTTTGGTGTGTTGGAGTCGGATGTTTAAGCTGCGCTTTGTATCATGGTTGTAAATATGACTTTAGGCCTTTTTGGAAATGACAGGGAAATGAAGAGTGTGTGTGTGTGTGTGTGTGTGTGTGTGTGTGTCACTGGTCAGCCAGTTTGTCGTGCTCCTGGCTGTGGTGTATTTTGGCCTTCTCCATAACTCTCCTGCAAATACGAGCTCCTGTATGAGAGCTGCAGCGATGACAGTGTAAACCCGGCCTGTCGGCTGGTATTCAGAGTGGGTGCAACTGGATAATCAGAGTTTAATGGTGATGTATCAGTAACATTAGTGAGACAATAACCTGAATCAGTTCTCTCTTTCTCACTAGTGGAAGCCTTGATGTTGCAGCTGGGCAGTTCTTGGAGTTTGTAATAGAATCCATGAGACAGTTGCTCTCTCCTTATCCTTCTGCTAGTGTCCTTGTCACTACTGGTAGCATGAGGCGGGACCTGCAGCCCAGTCAGGTTGATACCAGACACCAGGAGACCGGCTGTTACACCAGGAGAGCTGGACAGGGCCGTAGAAGGGCATCAACCCAGCAGCAGGACCGCTATCTGCTCCTTTGTGTGAGGAGGAACAGGAGGAGCACTGCCAGAGCCCTACAACATGACCTCCAGCAGGCTACTGGTGTGCATGTTTCTGACCACACTGTCAGAAAAAGACACCATGAGGGTGGCATGAGGGCCCCAAGTCCTCTAGTGGGAACTGTGCTCACAGCCCAGCACCGTGCAGCTCCATCATTCACCAGAGAACACCAGAACTGGCAGGTCCACCATCGGCGCTCCGTTCTCTTCACAGATGAGAGCAGGTTCGCACTGAGCACATGTGACAGGCTGGTTGTTTTTTCCACAACAGTCTCTGTGTGAACATTAACCGTCAGTAGATCATCTCTCAGTCTCTGTGTAAATCTTTTCATTTTGCAATGCAAAGTAAACAGGTCTCTGCAGAGAGGACAACCTGCTGCAGGTGAAATGAGTGACTCATCAAACTCCTCTGTCCCTGTGAGCGCCACTCACACGTGTTCTGTTTTAGCTTGGACGGATGTCTCCCGTCCATAAGAAGACAGGACGTCACGTCCTCCAAACGAAACGACCAAATAATTCATTTGTCGGTCACGTATTGGTTCAACCCACAGTTCTCCAATCAGCTCCGGTTTTTGTGTCACAGCACACACACACACCTCAGAGTCACATACAGACACACACAGATCTATTTCTGTGGCCTGTGCGTGTGCTGTCATGAGGATCAAGGTCGGATGCCTCTCCGATCTTGTCTGATGTGTGCCATTAATAAAACTTAGACACACACACACACACACACACACACACACACACACGCTTCCTGCTCTGAGCTATAAGTCTCATCAGATTAAAGTCGTGTCCCAGATAAACAGTGAACACAGACAGTCTGTTACAACACTGTAATGACTAATAAAGTTGAGTTTAACATCAACACAGATTCTGTCAACGCTGACAGGAGACATTTTACTGCAGAAATACAGAATACTGAAACTACATGAGGCTGATAATACTTAATAATACTTTATAATACTGACTTATTTAATTATTCCACTTCTGGTGGACAATTTTTAACATTGTTGGAGCTCAGATCTTTAGTACTTCTGCTAAAGTACTAAAGATCTGAGCACTTGTCCCACCACTGAAAACCAGTACTTTTACTTTTGATACTTTGAGTACATGTAGCTGATACTCCTTAGTATAATATATAATACCACTGTGTATTTTTACTTTACTTTTAAGTCGGATTTTATGATGTATTTTTACACAGTTGCATTAGTGTTTCTTCCACCTCTGCAAACCAGGAGCCAGTTGCACAGAACACCTTAGGATTTCTCCTTAAGTATGACACCAAAGCTTTCCAAAACTGAGGGACTTAGTTAAGGGTACTGCACAGAATCTCTGAGAAGGTTTCCTTAGTAAAGTAAAAATATTAAGGCAGTTACTGCACTGAGAGATTTTATAGTGGTAAAATACTCCAGTTTCCAGGATAACCATTTCTTTGCTTGTGCTCAGCCTCGTGATCCCTTAAGGCTTTTGTGCAATGGTTTCACTAATTTTAAGGGATTCCTTAAGTACAGTATAAGACCAAGATAAGGAGAAACCTTAAATATTTAAGTGAACATTTAAGGAAAGCTGAAGGAGAATGCATGCGTTGTGTCATTGATTTTATTTCAGGAAAGCCTTAACATGGACTTTAAGGAAGATCTTACCTTAATATGAAAACTCCTTATTTATATTAGATGATCTGAGCGCGCGCACACACCTCACCTTGCTCGTGCAGTTTGCGCAGCAGTCCCGCAGCTCGGATCAGGTCCGGTCCTCTCTCCACTCCGTCTCGAGGCTGCGGCACAGCAAGAACAATTGGCTCACGCGCGCACACACACAGAGACGCACCCGGCTGCACCGTGTCCTCGTGCACTCACCTGTCCTTTGGAGAAAGGTGCTCCGATGATCCCCGCTGAGCGCTCGCGCTGCTGCTGCTGCTGCTGCTGATGATGATGATGATGAAGACACCGTGCGGAGACGAGTCCTCGCAGCGTCCTCGCGTTCCTCATGCTGACTGATACACCGACACGCCGACACACACACACCGACGGGAGCTTTCTAAAAACTCCCCCGTGATGTCACCGCCCGGGACACGAGGACGGGATGAGGTGTGACGTCATCGATGAGTTAATGAGCAGCTTGTTTCTTTACAGCCAGATTCCAGTACTAATATAAATAACATCAAATCCTTCTTTTATATGTGGTCACTGTACCTGCAGTTACAGTTCAGACTGTTGTCAGCTTCCTGTATAAATGTGTCTGTGGCTCAAACATCTGTCAGCTCTGCTGTTAAAAGGACTAGCCTATCCAAACCCTTTCAGTCCAGCACCTTCAACAGTAACCCTTCAGACATGGTACCTAGACCCTCGGTGTGTTCGTCCAGCACTCGCTGTATTTCCTCATCAGCGGTGACACAGATGGAAGTCTGCACCTGGTTTATCGTCCACAGAACGAGGCTGCACGCCCACATTTTCACAACAAAATAGAACAGGCTGCAGTGAGAGTCTCTCTCCATGGGATATTTAAAAATAGCAGCTTTGTGCATTTAGTCCTTCTCAGGCAAGCTCAGGGGTTTAGTGTTGCTGTAGCCACAGGAGGTGAGGATTAGAATATATGACCTTCACATAATCCGCTCCAAATTAATCTATATTTTTAAAGTCATTACTAAAAGTGTGTGTCATATAAAAACTAAAGTGATGCTCAAAGTTGTCACAGTGAAATTTAAGGTGTGCTGATGGATTCACGTCATCAACTCATGCATTGAGTAACATTACAAGTTAACGTTCCACCTTAAAAGTTGCCGGCAGTCGGCCCAGTGAATGAAGTTATTTTTTTCTCTTTCATTTTATAGTTGTAGTTTACTGATGTATGAACAGAGGTTACATAAAACCAGAGTGACCGTCCTCTACTGACCAATCAGACTGCAGGGTTTCTAGCTCCACCTTTTAGTACCAGATCTGTGTGCTAGGTACCCCAACAGAGGGGGGACCAAACATGGGGACGCTAAGGAACAGCTCTGTTGGTACCATCCACAACTTTTCACTGTGGAAACAGAAAAAAAGCATACTGAACTGTAGCGTACTGCTCGGTGGAAACGGGGCTATAATACTGTTACTTCAGCACCATGGACAGCAGTGTTTGTTTTGCGTGATGGAGAGTTTACAAAACAATTTCCGGCAGAAGACTGGACTGATTGTTGACTCAGGAAGTTCAACAAGCAAACAAGGAAGCTGCTAACCCCCCCACAAACATCCTCTTTGACTGAAAAATAAACAGATTGGAATTTTGTGGTCAGATGTTGCTGTGCCATCTGGTGTGTGTATGACCAAAGTGAGAGCTGTGTCTGAATACTTAGCGTAAGGTGTCAGTGGGTGATGGCCTCCGCCAGGGTTGTCCCTTGTCATCGATCCTGTTTGCGATATTCATGGACAGGATCTCGAGGCGCAGCCGGTGGAGAGGAAGGGGTCCATTTTGGGGACCTCAGAAATGCATCTCTGCTGTTTGCAGACGATGTGGTTCTGTTGGCTTCATCACACCATGACCTCCAGCATGGCCTGGGGTGGTTTGTAGAGTCAGCACCTCCAAATCTGAGGTCATGGTTCTCTGCTGGAAAACGGCGGATTGCCTTCTCTGGGTTGGGGGAGAGTTACTGCCTCAAACAAGGGAGATCACGTATCTCGGGGTCTTGTTCACAGTGAGGGTAGAATGGAGCGTGAGATGAATCGGCAGTTTGGTGCAGCTTCTGCAGTGATGCAGGTGCTGCACTGGACCGTCGTGGTGAAGCTTTCAATTTCCTGTGCCATCTCCGTCCCAACCCTCACCTATTGTCATGAGCTCTGGGTAGTGACTGAAAGAATGAGGTTGCGGATACAAGCGTCTGAAATGAATTTCCTCCAGGGTATCTGGGCTCAGCCTTAGAGATAGGGGGAGGAGTCAGACATCTGGAGGGAGCTTGGAGTAGAGCCGCTGCTCCTACATGTTGAGGTGGTTCAACATCTGATCTGGATCCTCCTGGGCGCCTCCTGTTAGAGGTGTTCTGGGCACGTCCCACTGGTAGGAGACCCTGGGGCAGACCCAGAACACACTGGAGGGATTATATATCTCATCTGGTTTGGGAACACCTTGGGGTCTGGAAAGTGTTGCTGGGGAGAGGGACGTCTAGGGTGCTTTGCTCAGCCTGCTGCCCCCGCGACCCGGTCCCGCATAAGTGGATGAAAATGGATGGATGGAGGTCAAAGGTCAGTGTGACCTCACAAAACATATTTTTTGCCATAACTCAAGAATTCACACACTATTTCTGACAAAACGTGACACGAATGTCTAACAGGATGAAATAATGAACGTCAAAAGGTAAAAGGTCAGCTTGACTGTGACATCATCATTTTTAACGTCATATCTCAGGAACAGAAGGGGAGACATTTGGTCAGATACTGAATTGGTGACTCTGATCTTGAAACTGTGCTGATTATATAGATCTTCTGTGTGTGAAGCATCCATGTTTTCACTGACATGGATGGAGACTGTCAGAGACACTGGGCTGGTGGGCGGGGTCATACAACCACGGAGAGGTAATTCTGGTTTAGATTTAGTTTGATAATGATGTTGACAAAATGTATGGTCATAAAACTGAACTTACACTCTAAAGAATAATGTACTGGTTTAACTTTAAAAAATTAAAGTAACAATTTCCATGCATCTTTTCAAGTAGTTCCATTATCAAGTCAGTCCTCTAAGTCTTTTATCATCTGACAAATTCATTTAGTTTAGTACAACCAATATGATTCTTTCTGACCTCGAAAAGCGTAAGTAAACCAACTTAATATTTATCCAAACGTTGTATTGATATTTAGCGATTAAAATATTTTATGCAAGATATTATAACTTATTCATTTTAATTAATAAGTTGTCAAGCGACTAAAACATGTTAATGAAACAAACATATTTTTTTACGCTGAAAAACGTATTTATTTTAAGCATTATTCACTGATATAACCCCATGAATTATTTTTATTTTTTTAATGATACAATTGCGTTGTTTTCCTGAAAGATTTTTTTTAACATAATTAATAATTAATATTTTTTGTAATATTATTATTTTTAATAGTTTTTTTTATAAATATCTGCTGTGATAAAAACTGTCTGTATTATGTTCTCTCGTTTTATTAAAATACTAAAATAAGATATTCGGGTCAAGTCCCGCCTTACTGTGCTGTGATTGGCTCAGCGTGACGTGCCCCGGAAGAGGAATCATCCACAACGTGCACCCATGTGTTTGTCGGAGTTACAGAAAACAGGTCAGCGTTTCTTATTTTCATTATATCATTTTATTTCCTACATTATTTATAATATTATGACATTGTTCTGGTGTGTTTGAGTTCACGTTCGTTGGTCGCGAGACATTTTGTTTTCGTTACTGAGCTCAGAAGCCGCTAAGTTAGCTTAACTAGCTAGCATGTGTTGTAGCAAAACAGTAGCGCTAATCTAGTTTAACTAGTTGATGTAAAATGAACTAGTTGTGTAAATACAGTATAAAAAGACTTTCCTCTGGCTGCAGTCACCACACTGGATCATTATCTGAGTGATACCGCACTCAACGGGGTCGTTTTCTTGTGTGGGATTTATCTACGTGCCAAACTCCCTTGGAAAAACTGCAGTTTTAATGTTTTCCTGCCTTTTAGAAAGAGCAGGTTCTGCACAGAAGTGTTCTAAAAGCTGTTTCGTATTCACAAATATCCACTTTTCAAATCGGCTATAGCAAATTATAATAATTACTTGATGAAGTGTCTTTTGCTTCCTATTTTAGGGAGCGTGTCCCGCTCACCACGGTGCTGTAAAGGTTATTAAAGCATTAAGTTGACATGCCAAAGTTCCCAGAGGATTATGATTCATATTAAAGTAAAGTGGGGATCATTAGGTTATAATAGCAACCAGGAACCCTAATGGTACCAACCTCTCAGAGGAGCCTTTAAATCTTCGTTTTAACCAGCAGTTTGGCCTGATGTGATCAGCACCAGAGTCAGTTCATGTTAAACACATTGATTTAAAGTTTGAGTCCCACACTGTGAAGTGACCGAAGCAGCGTTTTGTTTCAGGACAGCTGAAGAATAATAGAGAGATTTGGTAATAACATGTTGACTGTCATTCATTGGCAAACCTCCTGGATCATGCGCAATAAATCAGAGGAGCTCTCCTAACTTCAGTGTGTACTTTCTGTTCTCTTCGGCAATCTCAAGTTAAATTGGGTTTATTTAAATTCTCATTCATGATAACAGACTTTCTTAAAGACTTCATTAGGACAAGTTGAAGCATCCTGAAGCCTTTAGGGTAACGTTGGGTTCAGGTGAAAGTAACAGGAAACAGACTTTAGTATATAAACAAAAGGCCAGAGAAATGTGAGAGTGACTTTTGTGTGTCCGTCATCAGATTAAGAAGCCGTCATCATGACGTCTTTGGCCCACCAACTGAAGAGGCTCGCGCTGCCTCAGAGCGACCCCAACCTACTGACACGCAGAGAGGTCGCCTCGCTCCTCTTCGACCCCAAAGATGCTGCTTCCATGGACAGAAGCACCTTCTACGCCCTCGGTGAGTCCTGGACAGGTTCCCAAATGGCCAGCAGATGACTCCCACACATGTTGTGGTAAAACCTTACTGTCTGTCCTCTTCGTCTTCAGGCTGCACAGGGCTTGAGGAGCTGCTGGGAATCGAACCAGCCTTCCTGGAGTTCCAGGACACACTGTTCAGCCGGGCCTCGATGACCCTGGAGCGCAGTGTCCAGTCCAAAGAGGTCAACGAGAAGCTGGACGCCGGCATCTCGCTCTTCCTCACCCGCCTCTGCCCGTACTTCCTCCTCAAACCGGCCCACAAGTGCATCGAGTGGCTGGTCCACCGGTACGCATCTTAACGTCTTGCAGTATCACCACACCTCATTCTAACTGATATCTGTGACAGGTCTGATCCTGTCAGATTAATATTCATATATTTCACTACTAAATTATGTTTATACTTCTTATCAGCCGGATGTGTCAGTGTCTGGGAAAAAAAAGTGATTTATCATGATGTATGAAAAT